CGGATTGCCAAAAATCTTTCATTGATAGATAGCTACAATGTTCCCGAGTGCTATAGGGTATAAAACATCACGCCACGATCAAATGGAGCTGAGCAGCGGGTGAGACCGCGCGATATAACTAAATATCCTTCAGCACGAATGGGTTGGAACGACCGGAGTGATAACTCCATGGTATCCCACGGCCTTACAAAAAACCGGCGTGAAACAAACACAGCGTTGTGTTTCACCGTGTGAGCGAGGTTGCCGAAAGGCCGACCAATCCCTCCCTAATCCCAAAAATGTCCAAGCCCCGAATCCTAATAAGGTCAGCGAAGCACTGCTGGTAGCTCCACCGTTGGTGCAGGTGTCCGTAAGCTCGTTCGCTGTCCTATAACATTAAAAATAATGATATATAAAAATAATTATATTACTTATTAAATAAAAGGATAAAATAATTATCACCCGTTTTGTTCGTGGCACCGTGACCTAAACACGGCATGCCTATATTAATTAATATACATCTGATTAACCGATTTAAGTATTTTTTTTTACCTAATTAAAAGCGTTAGATATCGGTGATATAACTAAAATCTAAACGCAAGTTAAAGGGCTACAAACATAAACATTTTTGACTTTTATTAGCTTTTTAAAGATTTAAAGTCTCATAGTTTGTTAACAAATGGGCTGATTTAATTTATTTTTTCATCGATAGCGTCTCGAAAAATATTAATACCTTAAATAAAGAAAAAGTAATTTTACTGAGTACTAGCCTTCACGGTAATCGTGGTTCTAGTTCTAGTGAGTACCGACTTCCATGTCAACTATGATGGGTAATAGGTACTCCATCTACCGTAGTTCACTAAATACCTACACCCTTATGTACCTACTCAGTTGGTACCACAAAAATCCGATAGATGACGCTGTACTGTGACGTCATTTTCTAAATCGCGGTGTTAAGATTCTCCGCGAATGAATGACCCTCCCCGGTTTCGTGCGTGTCAGTTACTGATGGGCCGAGTCGTCTTTTTGATAACTCGAGTAACTCGAGTTGACCTGATAACCAACTCGGGCTGCAACTCGAGTTGACTCGACCCGATCTGCCATAAGATACGTCGCGTTGTCCGGGTTGTCCGTTCGAGTCAGTAAACGCTCGACTCGGTGCATCGTTCTGCGGGTTGCTAGTTTGCTTGTCGAGCCCGACGGGCTGTGTGGGGTCGAGTCCATGCTAATGATAGTCAAATAAAATAAGTTTGTCAGACTTTAATGTTATTGAAAGTTGTAAGATTGGGCCAACAGCTTCACTATATTGTATAATGTGTTTTTTTTAGGTGGTTCACTAAGGTACTCGTATTTCCACTAAATTTGTATTGACTAGAACACAAATTGCATTGTACTTTAGTATTATTGTCTATTTTCGAAAAAAACTCCCACGCCACACTTTTCCTGTTTCCTGGAGCCATTCTAAAGTTATTAATCAGACAAACAAAACTTAATAAACTAATAATATCGCAACAAAACGATAAATTACGAACTAAGTAGTAATAACAAAAACGTAAACAAAACAAATATCTAATCTTTTGTGATAAAACTCTGTCATTTGTTCGCCGAAGACGAGAACTATCTCTTTCACTCGCAGCTCGCGGCTCGGACGCCGCGACTACGTTTCGTTGTTCGTGCTGACTCGGGCTCGCTCGGTGTCGTTCGGGCCTAGCGAATCGCGGGCTAGGCGGCGAGCGGGCGGCGGCGTCGAGTCGAGCCGAGCGGCGCGCGGCGGGCTGGCAACCTACCCGCCCCGCTCGCCACCGCGCGCGCTCTTCGATTCAACCCGAGTTGCAGAAATATTAACTCGGGCTGACTCGCTCACGGTCTGACTCGAGTTGCCCGAGTTAGATAACTCGAGTTGCCCATCACTAGTGTCAGTATCGCTTCTCGGCCTTTTGGCTAAGATCAAAGTGTAGTATCTGTTCTTTTCAGCTTAATATCTGAAAGTTCCCTCACTGAGGGACCAGTATATTAAACTGATTTTTGTAAACTGATGGGATGTTCGGGGCTCGCTCCACTCCCGTCACGGGTCGGCCCGGCATTGCAGTGCCGCCGGGATTCGGCCCACAGAATTACTTGAAAAATATAACTCTTCGTTTTGTATAAGAGACATGTTATACATAACGGTAGTTAAAATCGAGACGTCGTAGTTTTATATTAGTGACTACACCTCATTGTTTTGTTGCTTAACAATGTCCGGATTGCAGAGCCACATCAGATGTTAAAGTTGATCTCGCCATAACGTAACCTATTTTGCAGTACGAATTCTAGATTTATTAGCAAAACACATTTAGGGATGTTACGGAAGTGGTTTTATCGGAATCGGAGCTTTTAAAGCTCCGATTCCGATTTAGTTTATCGGACTCGGAACCGGAACCAAAGTCCTTACTACATGGCAGTCAAAATATTCAATAGATTACCGAAAGACCTACAAAACGAAAGGAAAGAAATAATATTTGAGAGGAAATTAAAAAAGTTCTTAATACAAAAATGTTTCTACTCAACCAAAGAATTCTTCGAAGGAAAATAGAACACCAACATTAATGTTAAAACCCACCTCATATACACACAAACACCTACCTACTAACTCAACTAACAACTTTTTTTTATTTTTTATTTATCTAATTCTGAACTTTTTCGTCTATTTTTTTCTCTTTTATGCAACGTGAAATAAATTAAGTAATTTAATATTATTTTATAAGCTAGTAATAGCCCTCTTTGCAACGCCTGAAAAAGGCCTGTTATTTTAATTTAAGATCCTTGTACCCACCTTAACATGCAAATAAAGAATTTGAATTTTGAATTTGAACCGGAGTCGGAGTCTGAGATGGTGACAAAAAAAAAGATGTGTTAAGTATTCATAATAAAATAAAACATAATGTAATCAGCCCACACAGCTATTAAAAATAAGACTGTCATAATAACATGCTTTTCAGAATTTCTTCAAAATAAAAAAAGAGTTAAATGTAATGTATTGACTCTAAAAGTAGCATATTATATTTAATAAATAAAAGCTTGGAAGCTTTATCACCACCCAGTCTATTTCTCATTTCTGAAACGTTCTTCGCGCAACCACAAAAAATATTTTTTAACAAAAAAAACCGACATGAAAAAGTAAACTAAAAAGCAAAAAATTAATTTACTTTGTTTAAAGTAATATATATTTTAATTTAGTTAAATATAAAATAATATTTAATAACTATTTTATAATCCTAAAGTCGGTGCCAAGTAAATACTACATACCATTGTGAATTGAGAATCCACATGGAACTGGTTGAGTAGTAAATGGATTTTTATGAAAATTAAAATAAATAAATAATATAAATCGCTCATTTTGCAGCCATTTTGCATATTACCGTCTAAAAAGTAAGCTACTGTAGTGCTAAAATAAAAAAATATATATAATACTTTTAATGTGACTCCCCAATGTAAACTCAATGTGAGCGATCAATTAATATATTCGACAATAGCTACTCTCGCGCGGCCACCCGCTGCTCGGCTCCATGATGTTTTATAGCCTATCATAGCACTCACGAACATTACCTATAGCTACCTATCATTGAAAGAATTTTGGCAATCCGATGAGCGGTTCCAAAGATTGCACCCTAGACCCTACATACAAACTTACAAATTATACTTCTATAAAATATTAAGTATAGATAAGTGTTGTGTTTTTTTGCAGTAAATGAATAAAATAAGAAAACAGAGTATTTTTTGTATATTAACGCATTTTCGTTGGCTCCTCAATCGTGACTTTCTAATTGTTTCCTGAATTTGAACGTTTTGTTTATCCTGATGTTTGAATTTAGCCACCAGACATTTCAATGGAATCTAAAGCCACATATACTAACATTTAGCAGAAATGTCTGCTAAATATACCTCCACAGATCAGCAATCTATATTTTGGATTCGTAAAAAATAATATTTATAATATACAGCACGCCAATTCGTGTTCTCATTTTGTATTTCACTTTCGTTGTATTTTGCCGCATGAATGAGCCATGAGCATTGTGTTTTTTCTTTTGCGATACAAAAGGTAAATTTTGAGACGGTAGTATGAAAAATTGCTACTAAATGACACAAAATTTTCATAAATAAATATTCTTCTACTCAGCAAGTTTCAGGTGGCTCCTCAATTCAGATGTTTAGATGGAGGAGCCATTTTGCATTAAAATAACTATTTATTTTGTCATATATTTTGCTAATAAATCTAGAATTCGAGGTTACGTTATGGCGAGATCAACTTTAACATCAGTCTGATGTGGCTCTGCAATCCGGACATTGTTAAGCAACAAAACGATGAGGTGTAGTCACTAATATAAAACTAGACGTCTCGATTTTAACTACCGTTATGTGTAACACGTCTCTTAACAAAACGAAGAGTTATATTTTTCAAGTAATTCTGTGGGCCGAATCCCGGCGGCACTGCAATGCCGGGCCGACCCGTGACAGGAGTGGAGCGAGCCCCGAACATCCCATCAGTTTACAAAAATCAGTTTAATATACTGGTCCCTCAGTGAGGGAACTTTCAGATATTAAGCTGAAAAGAACAGATACTACACTTTGATCTTAGCCAAAAGGCCGAGAAGCGATACCGAAACGCACGAAACCGGGGAGGGTCATTCATTCGCGGAGAATCTTAACACCGCGATTCAGAAAATGACGTCACAGTACAGCGGCATCTATCGGATTTTTGTGGTACCAACTGAGTAGGTACATAAGGGTGTAGGTATTTAGTGAACTACGATAGATGGATTACCTATTCATCATGGAAGATAGTACTCACTAGTACCACGGTTACCGTGCTAGTATAGTAGTTTAACTATAAAAAAATTGTTCCCGAATTATTTTAGATAATTATAGGAGCAGGGTAGAATCAGGCTCATAGTCTTGAAATAATACTTCTTTTTACTCGTGGTAATACCGACCATGAATTTACCAGATTATCTACTTAGATATAAAAAGGTAGGTACAATTTACCTACAAACTAATTTTGGACCTTCTAATTCTTCTCATTCACGAACTTATCACTTTCCATAATTAATCAATGCCCATAATCTTCCTCTCTGCAAAAAAAAAACATCTCATTTAGTATAATACGATAGTTTCCGACTAGTAAAATTCAATACTTATCCACATGTCAAAAACGATACTTTTCTATGAAATTTGTATGAAAAACTGAGTTATGATGTCATAGCATTTTTGCGTCAAATAGCTTAGGTACTTAATTATTTCTTAATAATTAGTTAATAATAAGTATCTAAAATTGAGTGTATCGATCGATAAATAAAAGTATACTAAGGTCAAGGTAATAATATCTACAAGTATTTCAACTTCATAGAAACGGCCGAAACGCGAACTATACCTACGCGCCCGATGTCGGGACGCGCTCGGGACGCAGACAGACGCGGCTGTACCGCAGTGACGAACGGACGGTGTGTTGTCTTTTATTTAGAAATCAGCTCGAGTACATTATTTATTATGACGAATAGGAAATATTGTGCTGTTATTACCTATGTTTGGTTGCATGAATTCGTCAATAACGCATCCAGACATAAGTTTTTTTTAAATTACCTGGAAACTGGTTACTGGTTACTTACTAGTAGCCTAGGTAGGTACATAATGTGTGTCTTTATGGATCATTATTTCCAGTTATCTCACGAAAACAGATGTTTGAATTTATAAATAATATGAATAAAGTTATTGGCGGTTCATGTATGTTTTGTTAGTTTGTATAATTCAAAGTAGAGAGTGTGGTATTTTATTATTAATAATATTTGTTTATTATCTGCGTTTATGAATAATACTAGAAAATATTTAATAACAACAATAAAACAGCTAGACTCATGTAATATTTTGATGTTTGAGGGTTGTGATTTTAGAACATTCGTAGTCAGCTGTTCAGTTCGGCATTAGTGGCCAAAGAAATTTTGTTTGTTTATTTTTAAAGCACTTTATTTGTTTATATAAAAATGGATATTTACAATCACAAAACTAAATGGAAACAGAAAGTAGACAAAGGTAATTAAAATACTGGAGACGAGCAGCCCTAACGCATGTTTACGTACCGCGCGGCTGTAGGTATTTATTTCTTTCAAGAAGCCGAGTTACAATACTGTATGATATTTATACTGTGCTAAGGTATTTTTCAATATTGTATTGTATTGAAACGTCCAATTAATTTATTTTTGACCTAGGAAACTACCCAATTACGAGTATCCCATTGAACAACGAATTTCTGTAATAAAAATGATATTATTTTCATGTTTTTTACAATTATGTAAAATGTTTTAAAATTAAAATTTCAGTTATGAAAAAGATTAGATACTTAGTTTTTTTTTCATGAAATTATTTAAAATCTACTTACCGTCTATTCTTTTATTTTAAGTGTGGGAGAATAATGCTTCGACACTATTAGGTCGGCTTGATCGGAGTGATACCACTGCCTTACAGAAAATGGCGTGAAACAACCAGAGCCTTGTGTATCGTCGTGTAAGTCGGGTTACCGAAGGTCCAATCCTTCCTTTCCCTCCCCAATTACGTAAATCTCCAAAACTCTTATCCCCAATAGTACGGCAACGCGCTCGAACTCCTTTGTTGATGAGGGTATCCATCGACGACGCCAATTCCTACCATCAGCTCCGTCTGATCGTTTGCCATCCTATCACATAAAAAACATTATGATCAATTATTACGTACTATCAAATTTTTTAAGGGATTTGTTAAAGTTTCACGGTGATATCGATTTCAGTGTAGTAAAAATCGAGATTTTGATGTGCTTAAAACCTTTTTAAAAGCTTATAGTTTTATTTTTGATGATACCCAGTCAGCGAATTACGCGGTTAAAAGAAACACATGTGTTATTCCAAACTATAATTTATCTCTGTGTTAAATACTTATCAAAATTCATTTAGTAGCACTTACGTGAAAGCATATGTATCACCCATCCTTCTTATATCATCCCTATATTACTGACTACTTCTGTAAAATTAAAATGACGGTCAGCGGTGACCTTCCGCGCTCTGCTTTAGTCGAGGCCTTGGTGCAGGGCGAGAGAAACTGGGAAGCTATCCCCTCTTGCAGCAAAATAGTCACACTCGCAAAGGTGTGCCGCGTGAGGCGTCCTCCTCACTGAATAAAGAATTAAAATGAGGGCACATTATTGGTAATAAATCAAAATTAGTTGGCAATCAATGTTTTCAACAGTTACAGAATCTGGAAAATCAAATAGGAAGTATAAATTTTTCGTCAAATTGTAGAATATAAAAACGAAAAACAAAGTTTGAACGCTTCGCACTTTTGTAATAAGTAAAAAACAACAAAACCTTCCCAAGTACTTTATTATGAAATAGTGTTTCAGACACTATAACTGTTTTAAAACCCCTGATTATATTTTCATGTCTGTAGTGAAATATTTAATTAATAATTCCGAAGAACTAATTCCTATCCTAGTAGTCCTGTGAGAGGAACTGGGACGCCGTCTCCTCCTTCTGTGAAGCAGTTATGCTCGCAAAGAGGGAGGCGGCCCGCGTGAGGGAGCAATCCTCCTCCTCAGGCCCCAGCCGCCGCAACAGGCGACATTCCGGGCGTCGGAGATCGAGAGATGATTTCCGGCCACCGTAAGCGCGGGTCTGCGGCCGGCGAGTAAGGGCAGCTCGCCGCCCGACCAGAACCAGGTCCGAGCGTACGGCGCGTAGCGTTCCGCGCGCGCCTCAACGAGCCAATAGACCACCACAGACGGGGCCCTATAGGGCTGATGTCCAGCCGGGGTTGCGGGGTAAGCGCAATGAGGCACCGCGACCTCGGCACAGAGCAGGAGAAGGAACAGGGGGATTTTTAGTCAGTAAGAGTCTGACACTCCCAATTTGATGATTTTCCCTCACAAAAAAAAATCATAGTAGTCCTACCCTCATTTTTAATAAAAAAAACATCACGTAAAAAACGGTGTCAAAATAAAATTCAGCCAGCATTGTTCAATTTTACTATCACGCTCGCTATCGCCAGGTTCGACGAACTGATTTACAGCGAGATACTAACAATCACGCTATATACATCCTACTTAATTGCAGTGAGTGGGTACTTACTGGGTATAGTCTTGGATCGCTAAAAGAACGGTACGACGACGAGTGGAAATCCGTAACTACAACCACTATGATAAATATTATGCCATTTAGTTAAAGTCATGTGTTCATTTTCAGGTAATTCTGTGGGCCGAATCCCGGCGGCACTGCAATGCCGGGCCGACCCGTGACGGGAGTGGAGCGAGCCCCGAACATCCCATCAGTTTACAAAAATCAGTTTAATATACTGGTCCCTCAGTGAGGGAACTTTCAGATATTAAGCTGAAAAGAACAGATACTACACTTTGATCTTAGCCAAAAGGCCGAGAAGCGATACCGAAACGCACGAAACCGGGGAGGGTCATTCATTCGCGGAGAATCTTAACACCGCGATTCAGAAAATGACGTCACAGTACAGCGGCATCTATCGGATTTTTGTGGTACCAACTGAGTAGGTACATAAGGGTGTAGGTATTTAGTCAACTACGGTAGATGGCATAGTTAGCACATCGGAAACATAATTCTTTACTTGAAACCGGTTGAAACATAATAGTATTGTGATAAGATAAAGAATCCCCCACTGGCGCTGTTTAGTAGATAATATATTTTATTTTTTAACAATGCTTGATAGAATATATCTACTGTTGAGAACTACTACCAATAATTTTCTATAACCTTTAGACCAAACATACTTATTATTTATTCGATATTTTGCCAATGTCGAGTATAGACGACCAGAAAACGTCCTAATGCAGCAAATTTGGTATGTAATCTATATAGCCGACCATGGCAGTCGTTCATTTGTTACCTGTCTTTTGAATAAATACGAAATATTTACACAATCGCAGTAAATGACCGGCATTGACCCCGTAAGTTCATCTCAAACAATAGAGTAATGAATTCCCATATTATAATAATAATAATATGTTAAGTATATTGATAGTAAACTTTAAAGATACACAGAATAAAAGATGGAATGAAGAAATGAAACAAATGTATAATGTATACAAAATATTGTAAGACCTTATTTTATTGCACAAATAAGTATGTAAATGTAATTAAAAAATATCTTCTAAAATATACATATATAGCACCAAGTACCCACCATTATTGTAGCATAAAAATAGTAAAAAAAAATGTTATATTTATACTATTCCATATTTTTTACCAGTACATGAAGACATTGCTATAATAAAAAAATATAAATAAGTACCTATATTTTTCAATACATTTTTCACATGATATGTTTCATACATATATTTTTGTGTATAATTAAATCTTAGAGGCTACCTGTGTGTTTTTCTTAATAATCTTATTGACTATAACATGCCCTTCGTCATAGACAGGGTTGAAATGCTCCCGCACTTTCTTCCACCATACATTTATGTTCTTGTAATTAACACTAGGATCATAGCCACTCATTCCTGAAAAAGAAAAAAATATTTTTACACCAAACTAATATTATCAGCTAAATTATTATTAAGGACTCATACTACTTGTAAACCTTTGAATACCCGCATGCTAACACAAAAAATTTCGATTTTCAAAATTCCCAAAGAGCCTGATACTGCACCATTTTCCAAATTTTTCATCTCCAGAAATATCTACTTGCCCAATAAGAGATTGATGAATGTTGATTAACAAAATAATATTTATTATTTCATGTTCCATTATTGTCTTTAACCATAAAAGAGATAGGGTAACAATTTGTTTTAAATATGGAAATTGGTAAATGGACAATTGGATAATATACAAATTTGTTCATAAATCAAGTCAGCCAATTCCCATGGTACATAACTCAATCAAAAATTTCCCACCCAACTACTTAAAGGAGTAGCCAGACTATAATCTATCTCTGCAAATTTTTATCAAAATGTTTTCAGTATAGTTTTTATATGATTGAGTAAAAAACATCAATAGGTACTTACAATTATCTTATTTATAATATTTTATTGTAAATATTTAGTATGTTAATAATAATTTGTTGTTATACTTACGAGGTTGTTCCAATTCACAAGCTGCCACCAAGTCTGCCACAGTAGGAGTATTTCCATAGATGAAGTCAGTCCCTCTGCCCAGCCACTTGTCATTGAACTCTGACAGAGCTGCCTCCATGCGGCTCTTGTACCCAGCTAAAGAAGTAGGATCAGCAGGTTTGCCAAACATCACTGGATTTAAGTACTGTAATTAATTGAGAGAAAAGTGTTATATACATATGAATGTTACAAGTTTTCTAACAGATATATTGTTGTTATTATTATTGCCTTTTTGGTATATACTCCTTTACATATATTTTTTAAACTTGCTTAATTTTTAATATTTTTGTAGGTAAAGTTTTTAAGGCTGAACATAGTGTTCTTTCATTAGACAACCTACTTTGAAAACTTCATATATTTTTTTATTTACTAAAACAATTTGCCTTCATTGTCACCCTCGTAGTCATACCAAAAGGAGTGCTATTTATAGCTGTTACATGTCATATACAGTCTTTAAGGCTTGTTTACAAATATTTCACATTAATCACGGCCCAACTACAGTCTCATAACTTTATTTTAGTATCCACCATCCAGAAAAGCATAAATAACTTACTTTGACCCGAAAGTACATTGCACAATGCAGTCTAAGCCCCGCATGCTGCCACTCCAGAAACTCCTCCACTCTGGCCTGAGCCTTAGACTCTTTAGGGTACAGACTTTCTGGTATCACATTCTCTCTCGATAAATATTTGAGAATAGCAATACTGAAAACAGGAATGAGGGTGACTATTGGTGATACTTGAAAGTTACATCCCAAAAAGTTATGCTACTTTCTTTCTGTTCTATGGAATTGGCAAGGTTCCTACATAAAAAAATATTTTAACTATTGAGTACAATTCATTATTAAAACATAATCATACTTTCATTCATAGATTTCACTTTGTATAATTATAGTTTAATTTTATATTTTTTTATCTATTTTCCGAGATAAGAATGATATTTGACTTTTGACATCAAAACACTATGACATACATATATGTATGTTGTGATTTCCGATAATTATTCAAAATTCGTAGAAAACTGTCATTTTTGACATTTTAATAAAAGTCCATTTTGACTTGATTTTGACCATTTTGACCAATCGAAATCGAAAACTACCGGAATCTTATTTACGCTCTAAAATTAAATAAATACCTTTCAGTTAGTATAAATCCATTGTGATCTATCACTGGTACCTTCTGGAACCTATTTATTGCAGAGTACTCTTCAGAATAATGTTCAGCTGGAAATTAATAACACACTACATCAATTTAATATGTAAATAAGAAGAATTGATAAAAATCTCTTGAAAATAAATACTTGCTTCCGTCTTAAACAAGTTTTAACCAATAAGAAGCGTATCTATTTATAATACTCATATCTACTTAATAATATATTGTATTTAGTGATAATATTACATTATCACTGGATTATTTTATAACTCACCTTGTCGTAAATTTACGAATTTCGGCTCAAAATTACATTTAATAGATTTTAATAAAATATAAAGAGCCCTTGAGGGCTGAGACATGAGATCGCAGTATAATTTTAAAGTCATTTTATATTTACTATAACAAGTTTACTTTTTTGAACTTTGTACTGAGTTACTGACTACCTTAGTAGAAAATAAATAGTCTTTGCTGATTATTGTGCTCTGCTTTAATGCCTCCAATACACTATGTAAGTACTCGGCGAAAGTTGACTGAACTCCGAAGACTACACTACCTATAGCACATAGGTACCTACTCGTTTATCTCCGCGAAAAATACTGACGTCTGACAACATATTATTATATTGTAGTCTTTGCTGACAACAAAACAAACGGAAGTAGGAGTGAGGCATATTTTATCATAACAGATATTTACAAATACCAAGTACCAATTGTTCCTACCAACTTATTTTATCTGTTATTTTAATAACAGGCAAACGGCACTGTTACTGGAGTTATTACTGTTATTCATTTTACCAGTCCCCACACACATACAGACTACTTCGTTACCTCATTAAATAACGACTTTTGCTAAAAAGAGACACACCTATTATTTATTTCGACGTTATGGAATTGTTACTTATTGTTTATTAGATTTCTAACTTAAAATAAGAATTAACAAAGAAGATATTCATAATTTATAGAATCAGGCGTTACTTTGCGGAAATCCATGACATTAATAGTTTGGAAAAATATTTTGTTTTAATTCCGCAACAAAAATCCAGGCTTGTTGCAGGATGCAATCCCACTCCTATACAATCATGCATATGCACATGCAGCAAGGGTTTTTTTTTTTTTTGTGAGGGGAAAATCATCAAATGACTTCTCCCGCCCAGGGCCGGGCAGGAGGGAGTGTCAGACTCTTACTGACTAAAAACCCCCCTGTTCCTTCTCCTGCTCTGTGCCGAGGTCGCGGTACCTCATTGCGCTTACCCCGCAACCCCGGCAAGGGTAACATGTATATGCACACATACACAAGTTTACACAACACAACAACAGGAGATGTTGACTCGGCCAGCGCTCATCGAGTCAACATCTCCTGAGGATGCCCTGTGGAGGGGGAAACACGTGTCGAGTATAGGTTTGATTGCGTGGTATGTTTTACCATTTTGTGTATGTGTGCATATGCATGATTGCATAGGAGTGGGATTGCATCCTGCAACTAGCCTGGATTTTTGTCGTGGAATTAAAACTAAATATTTTTACATTGAAGAAGATATTCAAATGAAATTGTTCAAAAATAACAGGCTGTTATTTAATAACAGATATTAAGATCTGTTATTTTTATGTAACAGTAACAGTGATAACAGATATAGTGGATATAGTCACCTGTTACAACCCATCTCTAAACGGAAGTCACCCAAAGCGAGTGGAAGCGAGGTAAAGTTGGACCACAGATAACTATAAAATAATTAGAGTTGAACCGGGTACGCTGGGGTACGCCGAAGTGCCTAACATTTACATTATTCTAACGAATGTATATTCGTCTAACCTCGTACAACTGCGCGAGTGGTGTGTAGGAGGCTTAAGGATATTTTTAGCACAATCTTTATTCTTCTGTCCTTCAACCATATTGTTTTGATTGTGAAAATTGTGTCCAGGTTGTTTACCACACTTAATTTAACAACAGTGAAACAAAGTGCAACTAACAGCGTCTTTTTTAGTTATTTATTGTGTGCAAAATAACGCCAACTATAATATAATTTTTCAATTTCACCGAAAATTACCATTTCAGCTTTGTTGTCAAAATATTGAATGAAGATGTTATCCATTTAACAATTGTACAAATCATTTTCACTGCGATCGATAATTTTTCGCAAAGAATAAATTTGGAATTTGGATTAATTTTACATTAAATAAGTATTTAAGTGAAGTAAACAGTTGACATTTTATTTTTGTTTAGTCGATTTCCAAAAGTTCTACTATCTGTGCTACCACCGTTATATATAGTATGTTTTGTTACATCCCTATTAATTAATCGAGTATTCGGGTATTTTTGGTTTTGGTAAGACGCTGAATTTGATCGAAAAATACATTAATTTAATAAAATTTAATTAACGTTTTTGATAATACGACATGGCGTCGTTGGATCTACTAACACCACATTTATCCAAAATTAAAATACCCACCTCGCAACAACTGATCTACAAAGATGAGTGTGTGTATTCTTTTGACAATCCGGTGAGTTGCAATTTTTATTATAACCTTTAAATAACATTTATTTCTGAATAAACCCTGTCATGTTTTGATCTTCTACCATAGTAGCAGCATATTCCTCAAACCGGCCACATAGTTTATGATCTCAACTGAAACAGATCTCTTCTTTTACAAAATTATTTTTTGTTAGATAGTAGTGGCAGCTAAACAAAAAAACAGAAATCGATGCTTAGTCTATTTTCCAAACACCTTAATGCAAAATATGAATACTCATAAAATGTATGTTTTGTTTCTGTGTTCTGACTATATTATACCTATATAATCCTTGATTATATTGTTATTGGACCACTACAATTTTATCTAATAAAGTATCCTTAATAATGAAGAAAGATAATAGTAGAGGAATTATAAGAAATAGTTTTTTAAGCTTTGCGCTTATTAGATTCTAATAGGAGAACAAAAAATACTAGCAAGGATGTTTTAAAGTCTATATTTTCAAGTTAAAACAAGAAATTATGCTGATTTAAAGAATTCACAAAACAATAGACTAAATGGGTTCAAGCTGGGCTTACAGTATTATCTTTAAAATATTTTGTATTCATAAAATTCTTAACAGCTTGATACACATTAGCAATGACATTAAAAATGGAAGTCCGCATACCATTCATTGTGTATGAACATAATGTGAGGGATAAAAATGTATCTAACATTATGGGGCTCCAGAATAATACATTGTATAACAGCTCCCTAGTCACATAAGTCTTCACATTCTGCCTTTTCATCTCCATTAAATGTATTTTAGTCAAAATCACTGTAGAAATAGTAATAGGTACAAAGTAACACACAACTACAACTGCAAACATGAATAAAATTAAATTCTTATTTTCTAAATAACATATTTGCATACAATCCTCTTGTTTGTTTGATTTTGGTGTTCTGTAGAAGGGACTTGTCACATTGATATCTGCATATCTGGTTTCATTTTGAAAATTTGCTATGATGTTGTACACATTATTGACTATGGAGTTGAGTTTTTCATCTGTATTGTTTGGGTAGTTTTCATTTTCATACATTGTGATATAATTTGGTGTGTGTTTCCGTAGTTGTAAGGTATCATTTAAGTTGATAACTACAGAACAGTTGTTCTTACTTACATCCACCAGTGCCATGCAGGATTCACTTAAACTTCGCAACTCACTCATAGGAATATTTGTCTCTTTAACATCCATTGAATACATGGAAATTGTTATTAAAAATGGCAATAACCACTGAACAGCGACTGTAATAAAACTGAAATACTTCTTCCAGAATGCAAGTAGGCTTTCTATAGTAGATCTAGTTTGTACTCTGAAATTATCCTCTATTTCTCTAACTGCACTGTCATCTTCAGACCTTTTAACATCAGCAATCATTTTGTAGTGCATATAATTGTCTATTACCAAACTTAAAAAGCTATTTACCAAAGACACAATCAAGGGTCCATAACTTATAAGTATTGATGTGAAACTGCAATTGACTTCTTCATTTTTCATCATGGCCGCCGTCCGTTCTTCCATGTCTATCATGTCCGCATTTAGGGGGCTTAGGTTGTATAATGCTCGGCTGATGAATGCGACGCCAATGCATGTGAGAAGTATATTTTCTGATAGAAGAACAGCAGGAAAGGAGACATTGTTTTCTTTTAATATTCTTTTTAAGTTGAACAAACTCAATACAAAACCACACAGGATTAGGAAACTTCCTAAGTATAAATCAATAGAGTTCAACATATTTAAATGGTTACTGCACCAATGTTGTGACCAGAGTGAGCCACCAGCCCCCATATTTTTGCAAGGGAGAGATAGCTGTTATCAGGCACATGTAAATTACTATGAGGGCACTTTTTTGTTGCTCTGTTTGGTTAAAGGAAAGTTTTTTTTATGGCGTTCACTGATAATGGTGTTTGAAATATACAAAATAATGTGTATTGCAAAATAAACTAATGAACTGAAAGTTCTTCCTAACTCAATCCTTGTGCATGTTATTGTTTGTGGTTTTGTTTAAGGTCGTCTTAACAAGGATTGAAATGATTTAAACATTTTACAACATTATTGTTTAGGAAAAACTAAATAAATTATTTATTCATGATATTGTTCCAGGAATCTGACACGGGCTTGTATGTGTCGCTCGTGAGCTACCTCGGCTTTGGTCGCAACTACGTCGAGCAGTATTTCCAGAAGACAGGCAACAATGTCTTCCTTCACATCAAGAGGGAAAAGATACCCGTAAGTTTTATTGAGTGTATAACATGTTTTATCAGTCTACCATTAAAACAATGAATAGTAGCAGCATGCTCTGGACTTTCTATTGCTATTGTGATTGCCCAATACGCTGAAAAGCACCAAACTTGAGGAGACCAAGTACACCATATTAAGGCCTGGACTGGTCAAGTCGTTGTTGCCCTTGTGGTTATCGAAATATTTTATTTACAAGTAATTTGACAACTATACAATATACAAACAATATAAAACTATTTCCATTACCTTATTTAACTCTGCTAATGCTAGTAGGCACTAAAGGCAAACTGTTCAACGGCGGTTTTTTTTTTTTTTTTTTTTATGTAATAGGTCGGCAAACGAGCAGACGGATTACCTGATGGTAAGCAATCAGCGCCGCCCATGGACACTCGCAACGGAGGAGTTACGAGTGCGTTGCCGACCTTTTAGGGATTAGGGATTTGGAGATTTAGGGATTGAGGAGGGATTGGGGAAGGGGAAGGATTGGGCCTCCGGTAACCTCACTCACACGGCGAAACACAACGCAGTGGTTATTTCACGCCGGTTTTCTGTGAGGCCGTGGTATCACTCCGGTCGAGCCGACCCATTCGTGCCGAAGCAAGGCTCTCCCACACTTTTTTTAAATTTTTTAAATTCGCATGTTTGTGAAGTAAGTAAACTAATAATTTGATTGAAAACCTATCTATCCATGTATAGGTCGACTGATAGAGACTGTCTAAGGTACGGAGTCTTTTGGGGGAAAATAGTCCAGTACTTAACTTTTCCCGTACTTTATACGTAGGGGGAAAAAGTATCAGACTTACTAAGAGCCTCCCTTTTCCTTCTCCTAATTCGAGCCTGGGCACGATATGTCATTGCGTTGTGTCCGCAAACCCGGCTTGAACATTAAGTCCGTATACGTTTTCTTTCTATGCTCAAAATAAATAATTTCTCAACACAGGTCCCAGAACCAGAGAAGACCGGTGATGGTCCAGAGAAGAAGATCACTCGGTTAGCGATAGGCGTTGAAGGCGGGTTCGATCCCGCGTGTGGCAAACCGAAGTTCACATACACTGACCACTACAACGTTGTGGTGCTGCCTGGCTTCCATACTTTCCCGTGGCCAAACCCTGCCCTGCCTGAAATTGTAAGTGATTTTTTTTTTATGTAATTGGTCGGCAAACGAGCAGACGAATTACCTGATGGTAAGCAATCAGCGCCGCCCATGGACACCCGCAACGGAGGAGTTACGAGTGCGTTCCGACCTTTTAGGGATTAGGGATTTGGAGATTTAGGGATTGGGGGGGAAATGGAGCGGGGAAAGATTGGGCCTCCGGTAACCTCACTCACACGGCGAAACACAACGCTGTGGTTGTTTCACGCCGGTCTTCTGTGAGGCCGTGGTATCACTTCGGTAGAGCCGACCCATTCGTGCCGAAGCATGGCTCTCCCACACTTATGTGAATGTCGATTTATCAGATAAACTATTTATAAGTTGATAACTAATTTTTTATATTATAATAGCGACCCGCCCCAACTTAGCACGGGGCTGATAGAAAAATGCTCCACTATTTAATGAATGCTATTTATTATACATGATGAAGAGTACGATACGTTAGCGGCACAGCTGCTATCAGTAAGGTTTTCTGGTAGAGGTTTCATGGCGTAGAGTTTTCAAACGACAACTATACGTCACAAACACTGTTTAATCTTAGTAGTTAGTTAATTAATTACAACGCTATCTTTATTGAGCCGCCGTATAGCATGGTATTTGGAATTTTGGTTCAGTTCAACAGTTCGAATTAGTAAGACGTTTATCTTTTAACTATATGTATACCAAATTGCTTTCGTAATCGTAGGTGCACACAGAGTTGTTCCGTGAAGGAATCGAACCTTCAACACGTTGCATGGCAGCTTATCACCCAGTCATCGCGTCAACTGTGCAGTAAAAATTTCAATTAATTTTAAGTGTTATGAGTTAAGTGTTAAGTATTAGTTATGACATTTAAATAGTAATAAGTTTTCTGTATTGTGCAGGTAAACAAAGCCGTCCAAGCAGTGATAGACGCGGAGTCCCCCTTCAAGATCGCAGAGCTGGCCGCCATGCAGGGTACCTGGGACGGAGAGAAGCGTGAAGTCTCTGTGTGAGCTGCCATTTTATTTTTTATTATTTTAATCTCGTTTTTATAAACTTCACATCTAGCAATTGTCGTGCTTTTTTTTTGCAACATAAAATGTATAATTTTCTCAGTTAAGTCACCTATCTATCGGAAGTGTCCTTAATATTGGTGATTGGTTTATCGCGAAAATCAAAAAGGGTCCGACAGGGTCGGGATTATGATAACACGCGATCCCTGATAACCATGTGTTAGCTTTTCCAATTGAAATGATCACTTCCTGAAGTAGGGAGTTATTGATATTTTCCCAATACGATTGCACACATTTTACACTATCAAATTAGATTATATCTATTTATGATAGTTGTTGGTGAACAAAAATAAATAAAATATCGATGCATTTAACTTACATTTATTTAGGAATATGTCTATACAGATAAAGACAGAATTACGCGTTAGAAGAAAGCGGCAATGTTTAGGCTTGAATCTATCTCGGAAGGTGCAAATGAGCGAGCTAAATTGCACTTTGTAACTTTTTTATCTTTAGGGTAGGTCGGCAAACGATCAAACAGATTACCTGATAGTAAGCAATCGGCGCCGATCATGGACAAACACCATAGGAGTAACGAATGCATGCTGGTCTTTTGGAGGTTAATTATTTCGGACATTTAGGGATATGGGGATTGATATTAAAAAGTCGCTATTCTAACGAGTTGTTGGGCAGAGTTGTGCTACCGCTCCTTTTTATTTCGTGCTACTACTCCTTTACTTCATAGTCTTTCACCATGGAAGATGGAACTGGATAAAATTTACTTTACCATTGGGTTACCACAATATGGAAAAACCTCTCCTTGTGGCAGTAGGGCAAAAACTCACAATTATATGTATTGTTTATGAAAGTAGCTTAATTTCTAATTTAATTTCGTTCCAGGCATGCTGTGAACTTGAAGCAGCTAGACAATGGTGTGAAGATCCCTCCATCAGGCTGGAAGTGCGACAAGTGTGACCTCACCACCAACCTCTGGCTGAACCTGACGGACGGCTCCGTGCTCTGCGGCCGCAAGTTCTTCGATGGTTCCGGGGGAAATGATCACGCTGTGAGTCTCAGTTTGAAATTTTTTTTTTTTTAAATACTGTCGTTCCAAAGAAGGGTTACTTTATCCTACTATAATATTATACAGGCACTTTTGAACGTAAAACAAAATTTATGTGTTTTAGTAAGTGAGCAAGTATGAATGTTTGTTTGTTATTCTTTTACGCTGGACTGATTTGACTGAAAATATACATAATTGGTATGTAGATAGGTGGTACCCTGAATTACACTAAGGCTGGAGTTTTATCAACATCCCTCGCGGGCGAATCTTCGTGCGAAAGCTAGTCCAATATACTTCTAACGTTTTCCAATACTAGGTTTATCTACTGTGTCATGGTTGCGATTATAAATTCACATACACTCAGACCCGGAACAACAATTAGTGGATCACACAAAGAGTGTTCCATCGAAATACAAACGTGAAAATTTCGACACTTTTAAATACACACACACACATTACCACTTTTAAATTAGCGAAGCAGGCATTATAAATATTTAACATTTGTGTGTATTTTCTTCAGGTGGAACACTATCGGGAGACGGGCTTCCCTCTAGCCGTGAAACTAGGCACCATCACCGCTGATGGCAAGGGTGATGTCTTCTCCTACGCTGAGGATGACATGGTCGAGGACCCCTTCCTGGCCGACCATCTAAAACATTTTGGTATCAATGTGCAACAATTGCAAAAGGTACTTAAATAGTTTTCCTTGAGCACAAATTTCTTAGTTGTTAAAACATAGGAGTGACAATTCGAGATTCCGTTGTAAGAACTTCAAAATCGGTTCACTGAATATATTTTCTGCGGCCAAGGGAAATTGAGTGAGAAACTCTTTTCCAGCCATTATAATTATGATGACAATAATAAATGAATCCTAGTAATTTTCATTGTTAAAATTATTAGGATTAATTAATGAGTTTTGTGAGGCTTAACTTATAATTAAATATGCTTACCTTGATGTTATAAAGATAAATAATAAATTACAATGCCCATTTAATAAATGATTTATAAATCAATTTTCAGACGGACAAATCAATGATCGAGTTAGAGCTGGAGCTGAACCAGCGCAGTGGGGAGTGGAACACCTTGCAGGAGTCGGGCAGTGAACTCAGGCCTCTGTGTGGGCCCGCACTCACGGGACTTAACAACCTTGGCAACACTTGCTATATCAACAGTGTTGTACAGGTAAACTCATTTTGTTATTAATCGTAGCCTGTTGTTCTAGTCTTATGACCTTCATTGCCAATAAATGTGACAAATTATTTACCATACTATAGTGTTATTTTTATAAAAAAAATCCCAATTCAACCCAGACTAAATGTGTAGTTTTTTTAATATACAGAACTAGACTTATAAGATTTATTTGTGTAGGTATTGTTCCGCATGCCTGACTTCGTGCGTCGGTTCGTCGATGGAGCACCAGAGATCTTCTCCACCTTCCCAGAGGACCCAGTCAATGACTTCAATGTGCAAACGTAAGGACTAACTTCTCCATTATTGTAATCAACTAAATAAGAGCAATGGATCACACACATCTTTCACAAAAATATAACAAAGCTCTTTTTTTAAACTCTTTAAATTTAAATCAAAATCGTAACCTTAAAACAAAACATAATAATATGAAACACACAGTAATAAGACCTCACAGAAAACCAGTGTAAAACAATACTTCTTCACGATTCGCCGTTTGAGTGACGTTATCGGAGGCCCAATACCTAAAAGGTCGGCAACATAATTGTTGCTAGTGTCCATGAGAAGCACCCATTGTTTACGCTCCATGTTCTCGTCTAAACCGTTATAACTTAATTATTTAAATTTAACCTTTTACAGTGCGAAATTGGGCGTGGGCCTAGTATCGGGTCGCTACTCGTTCCCGAGCTCGGAGGGCGGGTTCCAGGCGGGTGTGTCCCCCCACATGTACCGCAACCTGGTCGGGAAGGACCATCCCGAATTCATGAGCAAGAGGCAGCAGGATGCTCATGAGTTCTATCTGCATCTACTGTCGCTCTTACAGGTAAATACAGTTTCACAAAATCTTATAAAAAGGGTTATTCAGTTATGATACTATTACATTAGTTGCATATTTCTTTATATCGTTTTTGTGTATTTATTACGGACTTTTTGCATTGCATATAGACTGTATATATGTATGTAAGTATGATAGAAAGATTATGAATGTAACTACCAATTAAAAATAATGAAATTTTTTATGCATAACTTTACCACAGTATAAATGTGGAACAGTAAGGTATCTATGCCTATTTGACCGTATAACTACCTACCGGTCATTAAAGCACTAGGTTGTCACTTCTAATGTTTTTAGTATTGTTTGTGTTTCTGACACCCGGTTTCCGAAAGGCCAATCAATGTTAAAATCAATTTATTCTCTTGTCAAGTCTATTATCTATCAAAGAATTATCAACAAACAATCAGATGACTTGACAAGAGATTTAACAGGAGATTAGTTAATTTTAGTGTTGACAAGCCTTTCAGAAACCGGGTGTGAAAAAAATAAATTATGTTTTGTTGTAATCAATCAATCGAATTGATTGATTACAACAAAACATAATTTATTATGTTTTACAAATAACTAAAAATTTAATCTAAATCTAAACAAAACATTTATTTAGTTTACAAATAAAATTTAAATAGGTAATCTCATGGTGTCCCGTATATTAACATCAAAAAACGTTAGTTTAAATAAATGTTTAGATATAAGCGCTATACTACCTAGTCTAGCCATAAATACTGTAACAAATAAAACAAAGATTTTTTCTATTGCAAATAACATTTATTACTTTTACAGTATGTAAGTTTAATACATAAATATAAAACAATTTAAAACATAAAAAGCTTATTCGAAGTGGTCTCCATTGGCTGCAATACAGTCCTTTAAACGTTGAGGCCAGTTATCAATAGAAGCACGCACTCTTTCCATGGGAAAATTCTTCACTGCCAATCGTATGGATTGTTTTAGGGAGTCCAAATTATCATGACGTTTTGAGCAAGCCCTACTCTCTAAAACTGACCATAAATCATAATCTAGCAGATTAAGATCGGGACTAGACGACGGCGACGGCCAGTCTTCAGCTCTGATGAAGTCGGAAACGTTCGTTTCCAACTAAGACTGCGTGGACCGAGGTTTATGACCCGGCGCCGAGTCTTGCTGGAAGGACCATTGTTGGTTATTGAACATGGTGTTATTAAAGGGCTTAACTACCTTCTCAAGAATGGTATTTTGATACACTTGTGCCGATGTTTTGATACCTTTTTCGCAAAAGTATGGCTCAGTCACTCCTTCATAGCAAACACCCCACCAAACCATCACTGAAGTCGGATAATGCCCACGTTGCACTCTGTCGACTAATTGAGAAGCTTTCTTAGAGCTTTGAGCATAAATACGGTCATTTTGTTTGTTAAAATGTTGCTCGATTGTAAAAATTTTCTCATCCGTAAACAAATTTTTTTTGTGACCTTCCTTTGCGTACCGCTTCAGTAGTTGTTTATATTTTATCACCCTATTCTTTTTTAAATTATCATTTAAAAAATGTCCAGTGCGTCTCTTATAGGCTGCAAGTCCTAAGTCGTCTTTTAAAATACGCGACATGGTTCTAGGTGCTATCTTCATCTCCCGAGATAAAATCTTTTGCTTTCGGACAGGATTTCTTCGAATTCTTTCCCTTACTGCTTTGACCACCTTTTTCGTACGAACACTACGTGGACGGCCAGATTTTTTTCTATCACAAACAGAGGAGGTCTCATTGTACCTATTAATAGCCCGGTACACAAACATTTGAGTAATGGCAAGCGTGTGGAGAGTTTTAAAAATTGCATTTGGCACCATACCCACTTGGTGTAATGCAATCACAGCGATTTGGTTCTCTTTATCACCCCACTCCATTTTTAATATCGCAAAATATTGAACAATTGATTGGCGCCAAAATAAGAAAACACAATGAAAAATTTTATAAAAATGACAGATTCCAAATTCAAATTAATGTAATATTTTGTTTATTTTTAATTGTAACAGTATTTATGGCCAGACTATGTATATAGCTCTATCTTTTACCCAAACTAGAATAAGAATAAAACCATCGCCATCTTGGAAAAAAAAGTGGCATTTTTAAAAACATTGCGGAAATAAACTTAAAATTTGACCACTCGTCTTGACGCGGCACCCGATACTGACTGCACTCTGAGGTTCACTTAGAGCTCTCGTAAATGCGCATGTTTGTGTGAGTGTGCCATTTCGAGTGTTTCTAGGCAGTTACCTTACTGTTCTCTATTTATTTATACTGTGACTTTACTGTGCGTTCATTATTCTAAGTGCCTTATTAGCAATATTAATATGTACATTTCATTTATTTATTATTTATTGTACCTTTTGAGTTTAAGTATAGTATAAAGTTTTATATTCCATCATCAACCATCTCTAAGGTCCACTGCTAGAATATTGTAAATATAGACACGTTTAGTCAATTTATATGACTCCGACAGTCGGGGTAGCGATGAAACATGGCCGTAGGCACGTAGTAACGCTGTATGTATGCGGCAGCGCCACAGCCGGCACGCGTGGAACCCGGCGGAGTGCCTGCGGTTCAGCGTGGAGGAGCGCGTGCAGTGCGCGGCGTCGCGCGGCGTGCGCTACACGCGGCGCGCCGAGCACCACCTGCCGCTGCCCGTGCCGCTGCGCGCCGCCACCAACCTGCCGCAGCTGCACGACTACGACGCGCGCCGCGCCGCCGCCGACGCCAGCGGACAGCGACTGTACGTACCCGCTTTTTTATGACAAGAAAATCATCTAATTACTTCTCCCGCCCAGTGTCGGGAATGTCAGACTCTTACTGACTAAAAACACCCCATTCTTTCTCCTGCTCTGGACCAAGGCCACAGTGACAGCGACACTTATCCCGCAACCCCGACTACTTTACGAACCCGCTAGCTTACATCAGTACTACCTAAACAGGACTTCTATCTACATTCTTATTCAGAAAACCGAGTTAAAAACTACATCAACACTGTTTTTGTTGATACAAGTCTCTTTAAAAATAACTCACAACTACTTAAGCCTTTGACTGCCGACAGAAAACTGTTGAAGGCAAATACTCCGTTAACGGAGGTCACCGGTGACCCCCATGCCGCTTAACGTGTTAATGACTAATTTATTTAGTAAAAGTAACGACTCACTCGAGTAAAGAAACTGAGAAAAACTACTAGTTTTAAGTCACAATGGGACTGTTATTGAAGAGCAGCGTGCGCGTCACGTCACTTCTTAAATTAAATTAAAAATGTCACACGATAGTTACTACTAAGAAATACTAGAAGACTACTTTCAGTATTTATCATAAAAAATACATTTACAGGGACCCATCAGATATAGTGCGGCCACACATCCCATTCCAAGCGTGTCTGGACAGCTTCATGAAGGAGGAGACCGTCGAGCAGTTCTTCAGCAGTGCTGTCAACAAGAAGGTTACTGCTCACAAGTGAGTATAATACCTTTTTAATTTGAATTTGGAAATTGAGGATGGGATAAAGGATTGAGGATCCATTAACCTTACTTGCACAGCAAAACACAACATAAGTAACTAGTGCTTAAACAAATTTTGGTCATAGTTATAATGAGTAAACTGTATCATCCTTTCTTACTTAATTTAATTGTCCTTTCAAGAAACAAAGGGCGATGTTACACTAAGATTCAACAGCAATAATAAATTAACTGATGATGTTGATGAAAAGATCACGCGCAGATTAATATGGATATAAAATGCCAACATATAACAGACTGTAGGACAGAGGCCCACTAGACATAATAACCTCGTCTGATCGATGTGATAGGTCGGCAAACTAGCAGATGGATTACCTGATGGTACAATATACGGATATAATATGTGGATCGGAAGTAATCAGCGCAGCCCATGTACACCCGCAACAACAGAGGAGTTACAAGTGCGTTGCCGACCTTTTGGGGATTTAGGATTGGAGGATGAGAGGGATTGGACCTCCGGTAACCTTTCTTACACAAATATTAGGGAATTAAACTCATGTTCTAAAAATATGTTTGTATAAAGTATCTTTTTTTATTGTTTCCAGAATCACTCGTCTTGCCACATTCCCAGACTTCCTGTTGATCCAGTTGAAGAAGTTTACTATCAAGGAAGACTGGACGCCCGCCAAACTAGACGTCGCCGTCGATATGCCTTGGGAGGTGCGCACTTCTCCATATTATTATTATTCTATATTAATATGTTCAGGCAAGCACATATTTAGCTACACTAAAATAAATAGACAAGACTGTCTTCTTAGAGTGTATTGTATCTAACTGTGGAAAATACATTACATTACTATCATTTTTGAATAAACTATTTAAAAAGCTACTATAAAAAAATATCTGTAAGTAATATAGTATAAATATGTAAAAATAATAATAATGGGAAGTTGAACCATTTTGTGTATGTGAAAATAACTACTAGGTACCTTAAATTTTCAATTAAGTAAGAGCCCCTGTTACGAGCAACGATCGTGTTCTCTCTATCATTTACACTGTTTTAAATTGTTTTGTAGGTGGACCTAAGCTGCCTGCGCGGTCGCGGCCTGCAGCCCGACGAGGTATTGTTGCCCGACACCGCGCCCGAGACTCCGGCGCCCGTTTTCGACGAGGGATTGCTCTCACAACTTGTAAGTTATTCACTTTACTTGGATTTGTGTAGTATTGTAAAACGCTCGAGTCAGCACTAGAGTTGGCTTGAAGACTATCGAGCGCTGACTAGAACATTAAAAATAATAAAAAGCGCTCTTCGACGCACGACAAACAAATTAAATTTTATTAATAAACTCAGAATAAAACAGGCTTTGAACTTCGAGTCTTCAATGCTTATTTTTACATGTTTGTGTTTTAAAATTTAAAAAATTACTTCTATTTAAAAATCCTATTACATTATTCATTAGGAGTAAAACATGAATTACCACTGAACCTTGGCCTATGTTACTTAATATTGTTTATTATTTTTTTAACCTCTTTTATTCTGATTTCAGTTAGACATGGGCTTCCCTCTAGAGGCGTGTAAGAAGGCGTTATACTACACAAACAACTGCGGTATGGAGGCCGCCTCTAACTGGCTCATGGAGCACATGACTGACTGGGACTTTGCCAACAAGTTCGTTCCGCCCGGCGCTGCAGGTACAATAATGATTAATTTCGTTCACATTATATTAAATCAGGAACTCTATGCTAAGTGTACATGCTTTATAATTCAAACACGAATGTACAAGAAGTGCTTTTAGTTATTTCTGAGTTAATTAATGTCGATATCAAAGGTGGCAGCGTGCCAAATAATAACTGTATTACTCTATTTTAAATTGTATATCGTGCAACGTGTAAATTCTAGAAGTCCCTTTCTCTCACTCACTCACTCATACCATCCTTCTTGTTTTCCACCCGTTTGTTTAAAAACATCCACCATATTACACGTTTCTGTCGTTCTTAATCATTCAATGCCATTAATAAATATTTGGTTTTGTATGGCAGGTGCAGCGGATAGTGGCGTGGCGAGTGTAGACGAGGCGAGCGTGGAGCAGATAATGGGCATGGGCTTCACCCGCGCGCAGGCGGCGCGCGCGCTGGCCGCCACGCAGGGCGACGTGGCGCGCGCCCTCGACTGGATCTTTAGCCGGGTCGATGAACTCGACGCCGCAGAGGCCGAGGTGCCCGCCCATCCTGATGCGGACCGCACCCTCGGCTGCAGGGACGGACCCGAGAGTAAGCCTAGTTTTTCATATAATTCATTCAATTACGCTAGAAGGACACCCCAACTTCATACTATGTTTATACCTTGACGGTAATTTATTAAACTAACGAAATTATTACCAACGAACGCTACAAAATTGATTTGCCTATTCAGACAGATTAATAGCATGCAGACTTTCAACATGTACAATCATCGCGGCGATGTGATAGCAACTGATTATATTGTTTGGTGTTGCAGAATACAGATTGGTGGCGTTCATCTCTCACATGGGCACGTCCTCCATGGTGGGGCACTATGTGTGCCACGTGCTGCACGAGGGACGATGGGTCATATTCAATGATAACAAGGTAACATAATATACTTCATATATATATCATATTATTTCATACGAAAGTTGATTCTACTGAAGCTATTACAGAAAATATGCCTAATTTCCTTTTATTTCCTCCATACTCTAAGCTACAGTATTTTAAATAATTAACTTAACTATTCTCTATTCTCAGGTGGCGCTATCAGAAAATCCGCCTAAAGATCTCGGCTACCTGTACCTATACGAAAGGCTGTGATCATCATGTTAGAACTGACTTGTTTGTACCAAAAATCGCTGGCACGGTTGTATGGGATACGAATATCTGTGTTAGACTGCGTTTGTATTATGTAAACATTAAGAGATTTTAATAAAAACAACTTTTAGGCGATATTTATTTTATAGAAAAATAAAAAACAAATTGTTAAGAAATTTAATTAGGTTAATAAAATTTTTATCTAATTATTTTGCATAGAAAATGCTTTGTGTTGCAATTTAACGTAAGATTTTTTATCTGTTTTGTAGTTTGACAGTTAAGATGTAGTTAATGAATTAGATAATGCATAATCCTTGAAAGCAGGAAGGACAGCAGTATTTCAAGTGTGTATATTACACAAGGAATCTCGGGCTCTTTTAAATAATATACATTTGTAAACAATTATGTCATATATTATATGCTGTATATTATTTTCCTGGTATATATTGTACAATATTTTAGAACTGTACTAGAAGTACAATTTTTTAGTAACTTACTGCCGTACCATATTAATAAATGCATTTATTGAAGAAGCAGCTTACTGTTGAATTATTTAACTGTAAAATATCAGTAAACATCACTATAAACAACGAAAACTGAAAATAAATTATGAATGAAACTGCTCTCTTATTTTCTTTCACCCCAAACGCGCCTTTAATATCCAAACTAGTTGTATCAGAAAAGGACAATATGAACTCTGGCCAAACTAGTTGTATCAGAAAAGGACAATATGAACTCTGGCCAAACAATACAGTATGGTCCATCTACAAAACAATAAAATATGCTATATTTCCTAGGATCGAGTGAAAGGTTTACTTCTATGGATCGAGGCAGAAAAAGACACGAATCCAAAGCTATCCAACTCGTTTGAGAGTAAAATATTGGTCCTATGGCAAGCTAGATATCCTGCCATTGGTCTAACTGTTTATTTCCACTAAGTAATAAAGAAATCACAAACATACCTACATCCATACATTCCCACAAACTGGCATTTATACATAATAAAGGATTTTCCATTAATTGGTTATTTAATTATTTTAATATTAAAAAAATGGAATTTTTTATATTAATTGATAAATAGTCAGATATTTATTTCATTATAAAGAAGATTATGCTGTTACTGGAACAATGTCATTTACATGAAAATTGTCATAACCAAATCACAAAGTGGCTGCCTGTTAAACTATAGCCTTATGGCCGATATTGAATAGTATTGATCAAGACTATTCCAGACATTTTTTTTATATTAAATTAGAAATTTTGTGACTGAGAAGAATACATAAATGCCAAAAAAACAATATGATTGTATCAGGACATTATATTTGCATCCTGCTATTATGACTATCTTTAGGAAAATTCCTGACTAAAAAAATATACAAATTATAGTTCGTTCCATAATTAGAGACAACGATTTGACATTTCGAGTGTTGCAAGTTTTTTCCATTTCATAAATAGTGATGTCCCGCGACCGGTATTGACCGAAAGACCGAAATTAAATTCTGGAATTCGTGCATTTTAAAAACTTTATTATTTTTAGCTACTTTCCCTGGTACCTTCTTGTGCCCATGCTAACTCAGTCGGATTAAAATCACAATGGTAAGGAGGCAACCGTAAAATAGTGACCCTCCTTTTAGCAGCCATCAGACCACGACGTATCATTCATAATTACTCTTCTCTTTCTGGGAAATCTCTAACAGCTCGGCTTTCAGCATAGGTTCCTCAAATATAATGTTTTTCTTTTAGCCAGTCTTGGATTTCGCATTTTTATTATAAATTAGTATTATTAATTCGACTAAACTATAAAAAACATCACCGCAACGTTGTTTTATTTTGCTCAGGGTATTTTATAAAAAACGGTATCGGTATTTTATTTAAAACATCATACTCGGGCCAATCACTATGTTGAAAAATCTGGCCACATTATTTTGTAGTTTGACATTGGCTGTTGTCAAATTGTTGTCTCTAATTATGGAACGAACTATAAAAACCAATATAACATCTACATATTTTTAATTTTACAAAGATTTACAATTAAACATATAATTAACGCTTGAATCGGTCCACTGGTTTCGGGATTTTCCTCATAAATATGGTTTTCTCATCAAAGTATGTATTGAACTTCTTATGGTCCCTTCGCTTTTTCGGATCCTTGTTGCATTTTTCAGGAGTCAAATTAATCATAAGACCTGTAAGAATAAATATTTATTCCATATTTTGAGATTTATTTAGCAGGTTTGTGCAACTGCAACTTTTAAGACTGCCTACATAACAGAGTTGGGTGTTTGAAATCTATTTTTTAAAAAAGAAAGGCGAAAGAATAAGCAATTTGCCAAATAAGTAATTTCCTATAATTATTAAGTATTCCAATTATAAATATCAAGTCTTAAATAAAAAAAAAACTAAAAAAAAACAAATATTGTTAGAACAAAGTTTATAAGTGGATTTTACATACCAGCTTTCTGTGCCATTGTCACCAACTTGCCCATTTTCTTCTGTTGTCTTCGGCATAATCCAGTGATTCGCCGAGGTAACATACACCCATCTGACCTCACAAACTGGCTCAGTATAAGAACATCTGTGTGTTTGACGTCTAGTCCTAAGGCACACATGTAGCAAGGAGGCTTCTCTGATGGGCTGACCATAGGCTCATAATTTGGGAGCTTTTCTGCCCGAACTAAGAGCTCAGTGCGAGGTGATGGTACATTAAACGCTTCAATGACTATTGAAGAACCCTCCGTACGTTCACGAACTGAAACCAATAAGAGTTAACCAAATTTTAATAAGTAGAGGTTATGTCACATTATGTACTCAAGTTATACATAACATGTATTTATACTCACTTTCTTTCAAATTTAGAGGATTTGATGTTGCTATAGAGCGCACTGATGTTGAGAAAATTGCATTTTTTGCAAAAGAAAATCCTGCTCGTACTAACCCCGCCATGTTTATTTATTTTACTAACTGTCAAGTTGACATGACATGCTTGTCAAAAAACGTTTTGTTTCACCGATTTGCAGCTGATGAACGGTAGAAAACTTTACCTTCATTATGGCAACATTTTGAATATCATGATTTCCGGTTATCTAAGCGCGAAATTTGAATTTAAAAATAGTACACATCCTTATTTAGCCACATCATTCGTAAATCGTTTTTGAACCTTGATTTATTGCGTATGTGTACTAAGTTTCATTAAAATCGGTTAAATAGGCGTGCGTTCGTGCAGCGGAATGTTGTTGAATTTAAAGATTTTAATTATGCAGATATTTAGTGTATGACGTCGTATAATTGTGTATGGTAAAAAAAAATTTGTGCACGCAACCATTGTGGAGAAATTCACCAAAAACTGATTCCGCTGGGCGAACGTTGTCCTGGCGGAACTTTTTTTAATCCATAGACTTTACAAGAAAAGAGATGTATCCAAAAATTAGTGTGTATTTGTGTGTAATTGTGTATGTATGAATAAAACTAGTGCATGCATAAACTTCGGAGAAATTCAAGTTTCCGCTACGCGAACGTTTGGCCATTAGCTAGTTTTCATATAAAGCGCTTACATAGAGAGCTGTAGATTTTTACATACGTTGTTTTGAATTTGTGTATATTTGTTTAAAAAACAGATTTAGAAAAAATCGTAGGGTTTAAAAGATAAAAATATAAACGTAAAATACGCTTATTAGGTCTTAGCTCTTAAAGTATGCACTTTAGGGTCTAGATTTTCACGTTTATACAAACCTTGTAAGTGTCTGCAACATGTTGCCAAGTATCAATGATGTTTCGTTAGTAATTAAATAGTTATAGGACAAATTTACCATGAATAGATCACTGTTTACAAAGCAGTCAAATATCACGACGTTCTAAATGAATGGCATGGTAAAATGTATGCCAATAATTAGTGTATTCATTCAACTATTCACATGCAAAATTTCATGTCATTAAATTCAGTAATTAAAGAAAAACAATTATAATACTGACGAAGCATCGAAAACCTACATAACCCGACCAAGTTCGGATGGCTACAAAAAAGCGGCCGTGCCATATATCTAAGAAACGTTCTTAACTTTCCAATATAGCATTTATTAATATGGTACATTATCGTACACAAGCGTTAGGAAAAAATAAAACACAGTATCGTACACACGCTCGTGCATGCCTCTATTGGTTAAATAGTGTAATAAGCTACAATATGATAAATATTTACCTAAACAGTAGTACTTAAGTACTTACATGTGGTAAATATTTAATTTCCCTAAGGAGTCTATAGTTAGAATCCTGATCCCTGAAATCTTCAATAGAAATTAGCTGTATGAATTTTATTGGTCTTAAATATAATTAGATTATATCTCAAATCTCAAGCGCATACTTAAATAAAGTACCTACGTAAATAGTACCTACTTTCTGTCATAGTCAAATACATTTAAAAAAGTAGGTGTCCAAAAATAAATGACCTATAAATTATTTCGAAACAACAAGTGTGTTATCACCTGTACCAATTCAATACCGGTATTATACTGTAAATTTTGGGATGTTACCTAAATATATTGAACAGCCGCTTTTTTGTAGCCATCCGAACTTGGTCGGGTTATGTAGGTTTTCGATACTTCGTCAGTATTATAATTGTTTTTCTTTAATTACTGAATTTAATGACATGAAATTTTGCATGTGAATAGTTGAATGAATACACTAATTATTGGCATACATTTTACCATGCAATTCATTTAGAACGTCGTGATATTTGACTGCTTTGTAAACAGTGATCTATTCATGGTAAATTTGTCCTATAACTATTTAATTACTAACGAAACATCATTGATACTTGGCAACATGTTGCAGACACTTACAAGGTTTGTATAAACGTGAAAATCTAGACCCTAAAGTGCATACTTTAAGAGCTAAGACCTAATAAGCGTATTTTACGTTTATATTTTTATCTTTTAAACCCTACGATTTTTTCTAAATCTGTTTTTTAAACAAATATACACAAATTCAAAACAACGTATGTAAAAATCTACAGCTCTCTATGTAAGCGCTTTATATGAAAACTAGCTAATGGCCAAACGTTCGCGTAGCGGAAACTTGAATTTCTCCGAAGTTTATGCATGCACTAGTTTTATTCATACATACACAATTACACACAAATACACACTAATTTTTGGATACATCTCTTTTCTTGTAAAGTCTATGGATTAAAAAAAGTTCCGCCAGGACAACGTTCGCCCAGCGGAATCAGTTTTTGAATTTCTCCACAATGGTTGCGTGCACAAATTTTTTTTTACCATACACAATTATACGACGTCATACACTAAATATCTGCATAATTAAAATCTTTAAATTCAACAACATTCCGCTGCACGAACGCACGCGTTAAATAGTTTCCATTATTTTGAACTTGAAATAAACCCATACCATGTAAACACTATTTACGGATTATGCATTCGTTAACTATTTATTATTTTGTGGAAAATTTGTATCTGAAGGCCATTTAAATAATGTACTCGAATTATGGATTGCATGTATTTATTGAACAACACATAGTATGATAATTTAACAGGTATAGAGAATAAGAATATCTCGATGAACAATACATAGTAATTTGATTAAAACAGATAAACACATATAAGTAACAATTTTAAGCGCCATTTGAAAAATATGACCGTTATATATAATATATATCTACTATATTTTAACATCCGTATATTCATCTCATAAAATAGACTGCTAAGCAGTAGTGTAAATAACAGATATTATATCAATATACTTCGGCTTCGTAAGCACTTTGACTTTATTAATAGGTAGATGTACGCGAGACTTTATGCCTGTATCTTGGTAAGGTAGGTACTATTGTAGGAACGATGAATTTACTCCTTATTTTAATTTTTAAAAGGCTATCATGGACGGTATTAAGCCAAGCATAGAAATTCGAGACAAGTGTATGCGAAATGCATTCCAAATGCAAAGTATAAAATGAGCTTACAATAACTTAAAATTATCTTAGAAATAATATAGACGAGTACACATGAGATTGCAATTTTGTGACTTAAATATAAAACATTTAATGCAAATTCATATTTTTAGACATATTTTAATATAAAATTTGCAAAGAATATAATGCATAGTTGTTAAAGTATCGTTAGGTAATTAATACAATATTTTATTTTGTTCTTAACAATGTCACATAACATTTATGTTAGTAAAACTTACTAACTAAAAAACTATACAATATTGTACTATTAATAAAACAAAACTTACCAACAATGTGCATGTTTATAAACAAAATGTGATGGACTATTCGAAATATGTAGATAGGAAAAATAACAAGTCCCTTAGACACGAACTGTAGTTGGTTTCTGGCTAAGTGTAAAAAGTGCCAAGTTGAAAATGATACTTCTAAACCACAGTTGTCATAATTACAAGTACATATTTGGATTATTTTTATAACATTGAAGAAACTCATGGCTTTACAGTTATGTAATAATTAATTCCTGTTATGTTTCCACTCCACATTTGAAAGTAGCGATGATGGGACAAGCGTGATGGACATCTACTTGGGGAAGGCAGTCAGCCCCTTGCTCAATAGACCGGAGGCGCCTGTTGATGCTTCGTTGACAGCGGACGACAGGTTCGTCAGAAGCTGGAAATTTAAAAACAAATAAAATATTTTGGATTGTCTATGCAATGTAACTTAAAGATGATATGGTACTTTTAACTAAATGTATACAATCTTGGCACGTGTTATCTAAAAATTGTATGTAAAAATTTTTACGTCGAATCGATGTTAGCCCATTACCTAAATTTAATTGAAAATGAAAAGTCATACCAATATTGTTTACCTTTAGTTAACCACCTAATTCGATAGACCATAGAACACTTTAAGCGTGTTTTTGTTGGAGAATTTCTGTTCGTTTTGTTTGTATTGAAATATTATTAAAAAAATAACTATCTTTTGCTATTTTTTTTCGTAGTCATATACTATTTTACTAAAAAACATACATTGTCCCTCTTCTCGTTGAGGTATTTATCAGCGTCCTTGATCTTAGAGTCGACGACGGTGCTGGCGTTCTTGATGCCCTCGTCCGCGGCATTCTCCACCCTCTTCAGAGTGTTGTCCACTGTGCTGTTGATGGCGTTGCTGGCGTCTGCAGCAGCTTTCTCAGCCGCCTTCTTAGATTCCTCTACGGCTGCGTCTAAAATTATGGATATTTGAATATTGACTTGGCTATTCACTACCGTGCATTAAAATTGTCACAGATAATAGAAAAAGATACGAAGTAGGGTCAAAAATGTTCTCGACTTAGAAACTCGATTCGACTCGATTTAATTTTATAAATATAACTATCTAATGCCTTGCTAATGCGCAAAGAGTAGTTATCAGAAGTTTTACTTCCTGTGACTAAAAAAGAAACATCAACATGTTGTCGAAAATTTATTTTTACCAATAGTCTCCCATGATCTCGTAATAAAATAATTTTAATTGCATAGTCAAAGTCAAATTAATTGTATATATCGCATACTAAAATGTATAATTCGGTTTGCAGGTGTCTTTTCAACCACTTTTATTATTAATTTCAATCATAATGTATGTAATCAAACAATATCTTTAGAAAGACTTACTAGCAACTCTCTTGGCCTCTTCTTCGGCGGCCTTGGCGGCGAGCCTGGCCTTCTCCTTGGCGTCCTCAGCGGCCTTAGCGGCTTGAGCCTTAGCGTCCTCAGCTGCCTTCTTAGTCGCGTCCACCGTGGTGTTGATCGTATCTAAGGAATAAACGTAAAGTTATTCAATAAAGGAATTTTGTTTGATATTTTATTTTATTCTAATTTTAAAAGATTCTTTTGTCAGCGCGACGGGCCTTATCCGACAACACTATTAGGATTTGCTTCATTCTGAATAGTGTAAAGAACCTTTACCTACGCTACACGGACTCTAAACTTTGAAGTAATTTCCATGATTTCCAAAACCATGGAAATTACTCTATCAACTCATTCTAAAATCTTTTCAACGATTTCTATTTGACTAAAACTGATTATTATCTTTTGTTTGATTAGTATTTTTGATTTTATTGGAAAACCTACCTTGATGATTATGAAATTAAATATTATGCTATATGTGACATTTTGAATTAATTAATTGGTTAATTTAACATTATTATTAAAGAACTAAAACGGTAATATAAGTTTTATCCACATCGATAAAATTACGTATTTATAGGTGTACGGCGTACCACCTTATATAGAAATTATAGTGGTACTCCAAATCCATGTTTGCAAACCACAAATAAATGTAGGTACTTGATCGTCCTACAAAGGGTTCTGCATGTCTAAAGCACTAAGTCAAAACTACCAGGAAAATCTATGTTTGGTAGGTTTCTTATATCACGCAACGTCTACATTTAAATAAAGAATTAGGTATCGAAGCTCGTTTAATTTTTTTTTAATTGAACAGCTTCATTGTTTTCCATTAAATATTTACCGATGTGGATTAAATGAAAAAAAAAACAAATTTATTAAAAAAAATCACTAAACACACAAATTAGTCATTTTATTCAAACTTTAGGTATGTTTTAAAAAACTGTTACTGGTCACACTACACACTATGGTACCGTTTGTATCTGCAACGCGCTTTTGACAAACTCCGAACACTTTTTCAGAAGCATCCTTCGGCCCTTGGAAGTTCGTTTGAATTAAACCTACAATTAATTTACTAATGTAAATACGTATAACTTTTCAGAAATCGATTTTGTTGAGAAAGCTTAGTTAAAACATTGATCTTTAGATATTTATGTGAAATCAAAATAAAGTTATGAATGTAAATTAGTATGTCCGTGTGCAAGATTAGACACCTAACTATATTTTTATGGAATTTTATGACGCATGAAAAAGTAGCAACATTTTAAGACCAAACTCACTCTTTGAAAAGCAAGAAACGATAGATAAATCGTAATTTTCATAATTGTTTTAAGTTAATACGCAGTTAAACAACATGATTTAATAAATGTCAACAAGATCTGAAAGAGAAAACACACAAAAAAAACCATAAAACATCTATTAATCTAATTAATTACTAATTGACTAAAGATTACCACACACCGTTAGTAAAAGATAAGTGGTCAAAGCGAAAAAGAAAATTAAGTTATTAAACGTTTAGTTACCTTCAACCGATTCTAAGCCAGTTTCAGTTTTGTCCGCCCCCGTCTCAGCTACGTTAAAGAGCGAGTGCGCTACAGTCTCTAAAGAATGTTAGCAGAAAATTAAAAGAAAAATTAAAAAAGGTAAAGAAACAAAAATGCATCCAACTAAATCATGCAACTAACAAAATAATGGATATGGAATAAAATGATAAAAAACAAAATGAGGGAGAACTTCTTTATTGTTCTTTTCTTTTTTTTAATGAATTAGTCGTCTATACCTTTGGCACTTCCAACCATATTAACCCCTTTATCAAAAACTGAAGCTGCTACATTCTTCGTCGTGTCAACAGTGCCCAGTACAGTGCTTGATACTGAATCTACAAGACAACATAAAATACAAGGTGTAAAATTATAAAAAAAGCCAGAATTAAATCATATTACAATACTGTGCAACCCATCATGTTCTCGCGTTGTTGTTTATATCTCAGCTCAGCCAATCATATTCTAACAACTTAAAAACTGACCAATAAGCATGTGTTACGTATACGATTCGTGGATCACGTGTCATTATTGAATGATATGTTGCCAGCTTAAAAAATGTACAATAAGCAGTATCTAAGAAAACACAAAATAAATCTTTTAAAAACAGACTCGACAAAATCTCCAAATCCATTAATACGCACGCATCAGCTTTCTAAGCTGCTAGTGTGTTTAAGTATATAATAATAATAATAACAAAATAATACCTTTAGCATTTCCTAGAAACGATACGCTTGTGTCAACGGCACCTGCTGCTACATTCTTAGCTGAGTCTACTGTGCTTGCCAACGAATCTACGAGGTGAAAATAGTAAAAGAAATGAAAAAAAAAATACATCGTAAAACAAAAGAAAACGAAAAAAAGAACTAATTGAATCTACCTTTAGCACTGCCCACAAAAGTCGCGCTTTTGTCAACTGCAGATGAAGCAACATTTTTGGTGGCATCTACTGTGCTATGTACTGTATTGGCAAGTGTGTCTACAAAAAAAGAAAAAAGTGTAACAATTCAAAAAAAACAAAACCAAATTTATTTTTATATTTTTTATTTGAAAGTAACTATTGCGCTACCTTTAGCACTAGTGGCGTACGACAAGCCAGTGCCCGCCACAGAAGCAGCTGCTTGCTTTGTAGAGTCAAGCGTGTGAGCTACTGTGTCTAAAACAAATATATATTTTTTTTTAAGAAAAAATGAAATAAAGAGAATTTCTATTACTATTTTATTTGCCACAAATACCTTTAGCACCTCCAACAATAGACACCCCCTTATCTACAGCTGATGAAGCCAAACTTTTCGTCGTATCTACAGTGCTAAGAACAGTGTTTGCTAGCGTGTCTACGGAAGAAAAACAATATAATGAAAAAAATAAAATAATAACAGGTAAAACAAAATATTTGAAGCCCTAACTACCTTTGGCGCTAGCAGCGTATGAAACCCCCGTGTCTACAGCAGAAGCTGCCGCTTGTTTCGTTGTGTCAAGAGTTTGTGCTACGGTATCTACAAAAATATTTTTGACTATTATAATAAGAAATACGCTTGATAGATTTCTTGACATTTTTTTTTTTACTTAGTTTTGATACCTTTGGCACTTCCTATTAAGGACGAACCCTTCTCAACTGCTGAAGCGGCTACATTTTTTGTTGTGTCTACCGTACTATGGACTGTGCTTGCTACAGTGTCTAAAAATAAAACAAGAACAAAAATGTAACAAAACATAAACCAAACAAAATAAAATAAAATAAAACATGAAGCTGTTTCACACTACCTTTAGCACTACCAATAATGGAAGAGCTTTTCTCAACAGCTGCAGCGGCGACCTCTTTAGTCGTGTCTATCGTAGAATGTACAGTATTTGCTACAGTTTCTAAATAAATCGAAGGTTAAAATATTAGCACAAAATGTGGTGCAAATCAATAACACTAATGACTTTTCTATTGTACTTATGTAGAACATGTGTGTCAATTAACGACCCCTCAACGGCTTTAATAAGTAGGTACAAACATAAGAATTAAAAGAATTACTGACTGATAGAAATCTAACTACCTTTAGCAGTGCCAATCGCATTTGTGCCTTTGTCAACGACGGCTGCGGCTACATTTTTAGTCGTGTCTACTGTCGCCTGAACTGTGTTCGCTACTGTGTCTACAAGGATGGACAACAAACATATATAAATGTACAGTATGCATATGTTAGCAACAAAATAGAAAGCAAACTTAAAGAAAACAATGGCACCCAATTAAATGCTTACTAATATTATACCTTTAGCAGTGCCAATAGCGACTGTGCCTTTCTCAACGACGGCTGCGGCTACGTTTTTAGTCGTGTCTACTGTTGCGTGAACTGTGTTTGTTACTGTGTCTACATAAATGGACAACATCATATATTAGCCACATCACAAAGCAAACATTAAATGTCTACTAATGTCTTCTAAAGTTCTAACTACCTTTAGCGGTGCCAATAGCAGTAGTGCCTTTTTCAACGACGGATGCGGCTACATTCTTTGTTGTATCCACAGTCGCATGAACAGTGTTTGCTACTGTGTCTAAATGAATGAAAAAAACAAATATGAATTGGCTACAAAACAAAGCAAATTCAAATATAGTGATAAAAGAAATTGCTACTAATTGTATACCTTTAGCAGTGCCAATAGCGTTTGTGCCTTTTTCAACTACGGCTGCAGCTACATTCTTAGTGGTATCTACCGTCGCATGAACTGTGTTCGCTACTGTGTCTACACGAGTCCAAAAAACAAACAATAGTGTATTAGCCACAATATAAAACGAACAAATAATATGTACACATAAATGTAGTGTTAAGTACCTTTAGCGGTGCCAATCGCGGTACTCCCTTTCTCAATGGCGGCCGCAGCAACATTTTTAGTGGTATCTACTGTAGCATGGACTGTGTTCGCTACTGTGTCTACGGGAATGGACAAACATTAGCTACGATACAAAGCAAACATCAAAATGACATCAAAACGAAATGATAGTATACAAATGTCTGCTAACTACCTTTAGCGGTGCCAATAGCAGTTGTGCCTTTCTCAACAACGGCTGCGGCAACATTTTTTGTCGTGTCTACTGTCGTATGAACTGTGTTCGCTACTGTGTCTACATGTGAGGAAAAAATAATATTAGCCACAATACAAAGTGAATAATAAAATGTATAGGTTTGTTTATAAAAGTATGAACCTTTAGCAGTGCCAATTGCGGTAGTGCCCTTCTCAACAGCAGCAGCTGCTACATTTTTAGTAGTATCTACTGTGGCTTGGACTGTGCTGGCTACCGTGTCTACGGGAATGGACAAATATTAGCAACAAATTAAAGTGAACTAATGAAGTGTATGTCAAACTCGTGTGTTTCTACCTTTAGCAGTGCCAAAAGCAGCAGTGCCTTTCTCCACAGCGGCTGCCGCAACATTTCTAGTCGTGTCTACTGTCGCGTTTACCGTGTTTGCTACTGTGTCTACATATAAATGAATAAAATTAGCCAATGTACAACATATGTACATGATTCTAAATATTTAACTACAGAACAGAACTACCTTTAGCTGAACCAATTAATGATGAGCCCTTATCAACAGCTGCAGAAGCGACATTTTTGGAAGTGTCGACTGTTGATTGCACTGTGCTCGTTACGTTATCTATTAAAATAATGGTAATAAAGTAAGCAAGTATGTATGTAGGACGACTGTTCTACTCACAAAAATAATGTGATATTTTGTCTACCTTTGGCTGCGCCAATGAATGTCGTGCTTTGGTCTACAGCTGATGCTGCAGCGTTCTTAGTAGAGTCTACTGTGCTCTGTGCTGTGCTTGTAACAGTATCTATATTGCAAAATAAAATAAAATGAAAATGGAGTCCCAAAAATTAAATTAAAATCGAAATTGAGGTATCTACCTTTAGCTGTGCCAAATAATGAAGTGCCCTTATCTACTGCAGCAGCTGCTACACTTTTAGATGTATCTACAGTGCTGGCAACTGTATCTAACGTAAACAAGGAAAATTTTATTAAAATAAATACATCTACATATGCCATACATTAGGGAACTGATGTAATCAATATTATTATAAATACAGGTAACACGTTGATTGGAAATAGTAACGGATTTAGCCATTTTGTTGGTACTAAGCTTCGTAATTTATCCACAAATGTATTGATTGGATTTTAAACAGATGTTTTTTTTTTCGTTATGTTCTCTAAGCAGTATTGGTATAATCGTAAGGATTTATGAGTCTACCTTTAGCTGTTCCAATGAGTGATGTACCCTTGTCTACGGCAGCGGCAGCCACATTTTTAGTTGTATCTACAGTGGTACTAATAGAGCTCGCTACGGTTTCTACAATAAATAAAATAAAATGTCGCTTAATCATGCTGCTCAGCATTTGTATGGAAGTAAAGCGGGAATCAGCAAACTTTGGACTAAATAAATATTAAAAAACTACACGAGGGATGGTTTAAAAGCTGAATAGTAATTTCAGTCAGAAAACGAAAAATTTTGAGAGTAAGTACTGTATCAGTTAAATTCACGTTCAAGGTTATTTTGGGAGGTGCAAAACGATAACACTTCATTGTGCTTGCACTACCAGATTCTACGCTGCGAAAACAGTTCCATAGTTTGCCGATCCCTGATCTATCAAAATGAAATAAAAACTACCTTTGGCAGTGCCAATCATAGTCGTGCCCTTCTCAACGGCAGCTGCAGCAGCATTCTTAGTAGCATCTACAGTTGTGTGCACTGTGTTCGTTACACTATCTACAATGTAATAATGCATTTACGATACGACATACGACATAAAGCTAAAAGAAATACTACACGTGGATAAAAGTAATGTAGCGGAGAATTAAAAACAGTAAACGACTTTATTATGATAGTGCAAAATAGAAAATGTTCGTCGCTTGGTGGCACTATAACCTTTTATTTCTAGTATGGACCTACAATATAAGGTATTTCTTAGCTACGTTACGTTACGGTAAGTGGCCATTTGTAGCCAAAACTACGAAACACTATGAGTACCTACTCATATAAAATATTTTTTAAATGTTACCATGTTAAAATATTCGCGTCAACCACGGTAACACCATTCGGACTTTTCTCAATCGGTGTATTTCTAAACGCAAATAAATAACAAAATTGTAGGTACTTATTTTATCTCTTAATGGGAAATAGATTCGAGTACGTATTAAAATAAAATATTCATAATAATAAAACAAGTAATCTGACCTACAGCGTAATAATTAAAATAAACTTTGACGAGTATTACCTTTGGCTGAATCGACGTAGGTTTTTCCAGTCTCAATTGTACTTTGTGCAGTTTTCTTAGTGCTATCTACTGTGCTTGCTACTGTATCTACGACGTAATAAAAGAAAAAAAAAAATAAGTAAAATATTTTGGATATGGTAACAAATCCAAAAAACATAGTTATTTAACAAACATAAAAAAAATGCAAATAAAAATACCTTTGGCGCTCTCTAAATAGGATAAGCCCATGCCATAAGCTGAGCTTGCAGCACCGATAGATGCATCGTATGCCATTTGGCACGTACTTTGGGCTGTATCTAAAGCGTTATTAGCAAAAATACACAGGGTTTAGTCACAAACGTAAAACAAACGCACACACAAAACAAAAAAAAAAAAAAAAAACAAAAGAAAAATACCTTTGGCGCTATCTACATAAGTCTTTGCTGTATCTACAGCTGTTTGTGCAGCGTGTTTTGTGTTCTCTACAGTGCTATTCACTGAATTAGCAACAGAATCTAAAAATATAAAAATAAATGTAAAGTTCGTATGTACGGGAATATATATACCTACGCCTCTGTTTGCGTGTGAAACCTACCTCTAGCGGTTGTGGCATATGTTTTCCCGGTATCAATAGCCGATTGAGCAACTTTCTGTGTGGTATCTACGGTACTCTGAATAGTGCTTGAAACTGTATCTAAAAAAATAATTGCAAAAAAAAAAACAAACATAATATAGAAATAATAAATGAAAAGTAAAATAACAGTATTTACTATTTAGGCATCTCCCTCAATCCTATAGAAAAATAAAAAAATAAAATTTCAAATTCCGAACCCAAAAAAGTAAGTAAAAAAATTAACAAAACGTTGCCAAAATTATTTCCCGCCCACCATTCCCAAGAAGGCGTGATGAAAAGAAGGTTTGTTTACCTTTTGGCCGAGTCTCCCGATGTCATCGGCTTGTCTAGACACGTGCTTTCATTTTACCTCTCTGTTCATCTCATAACGTACTACAGTGCAAAGTTAGTGCATGCAGACAGAGAGAAGTTTTTAAGAAATATTCCATCCATTCTCTTAAATGTATAACTTACCTTTGGTTGTGTTGAACGCAGATTCTGCGGCCTTTTTCGTGTTCTCTGCTGTTGTAGCCAAAGTGTCTATAGAAATGAAGTAGCAAAAAAAAGGGATTTAGCGAAGCTACAACTAAAAAGGTAAGTACAAGGTCTACTATAAAATGGGTACGTACAGAAATCATATAAGGAAAATAAAGGTAAGATCTAAATAAAAAAATATGCAACTAAAATACGGTTGTCCTAAAACAATCGACTAACTACAAAATAAATCGACTAAATATTCAAATCGAATTTTAAATGCAATTTGTAAACTTGATGCACGTACCTTTAGTGGTGTCAACGACCTTCTTGCCATCAGCTAGAGCCTTGCTGGCGGCGTCCTGCGCCTCACCAGCTGCCAAGGACACCTTTGACAGTTCCTTGTCTAGAGCATCGATGGCAGAGTGCTTAGCGTCGTTGGCTAGAGGAAATAAATACTCTGTTAGTTAATAAGCTTAAAAACATTTGAAATTGACAAGGTAAAGTTTAGTGCAATAATAGCAAGAATATAATATAACCATGGAGTTTCTTGCTCGTTCTTCTCCATCAGAACCTACACTTTGGAACGAGCAAATAGCTTCACTAAGAGGACTGAGCGACGGACTGACACTATATCGTCAAAATTTTGTTTGACGTTCAAAAGTGCCTGTAGTTAAGGGTCTAATTGTAATAAATGATTTTTGACTTTTTGAAATAAGTGTGGGACAGCCACGCTTCGGCACGAATGGGCCGGCTCAACTGGATTGATATCATGGCCTCACCGAAAACCGGCGTAAACCAATACTTATCTACCTTGTGTTTCGCCGTGACCAAAAAACCAACAAGGGGCCGAAAAGGAACTTGTAGCAACTCCTGTAGTTACTAACTCGTTATACGAGTGTCCATGGGCGGCGGTGATTGCTTACCATCAGGTAATCCGTCTGCTCGTTTGCCGACCTATGACATAAAAATAAATAGTATAAAAAAATTAATAACTAAATGTTATAGCTAATACTAAAACTACAGGTCCGGAATTTAACTTCTTGCCATTTCTCTGTAACTACGTGGCTGGTCACCATATCTTATTATATTTATATTCTCTTATCACACAAACATGTCTTATAGTAAATAAATAACAGAGCCTGAGTTAGATAGAATGGTCATTTAACTAGCGGTTTTAGTTTGAGCCAAATGTGTGCATTGGAAACGGTAGATATAGCTATCTTTTATCAATAATAGTTGGGATACTGATGCACAAAATAACCTGGGACATCCGATTACTAAAATACCATTGGTTTAAGTATTTATTTCCTTAATTAAGCCACATTTACATCCCTAGAGATAAAAGCTATGACGCTAAAATATATTTCAATATTATTTTGCCTTATGGCTCATTTAGAAATTCATAAAAATAGAAATAATGATGCAATAGCAAGATTTATTTAAAATTATCAATATTTAAAAAATGTTATGCAACAGATTATCTATGCTACTATAGTAGTTAATAACTCAACTAATAAAACTAATAACAAAACACATTTGTGTGTAATAAAAATATTTAGAATTCAGTGTTGCACGTGGTGTTCCTGCCACTAAGTATCCTATTATAACAATGTGTGTTGTCTAGGTTCAATAATAAATTTAAACGTACTCGTAACGTGAATACAATAAAAAACTGACTCATTCTATTGTATTGTATAAGTTCAGAACATCTGTTAACTAGGAACTTTTTTATTATTATTATTACGGTAAGATAGTAAAGTGACACTCAACTTGTCAATGACAAAAAATCGACTAAAATTACCGACAAATTTCAACTTTCGATCAGACAGTCACGGTCTCCCCCACTTTAAAATCATGCTGACGACTAAAGATATAATTATAATGTTGATAAAATGCTTTCTTAAATATGTGACAAGTAATATTTGGTTACTAATCCATTTTATATTTTTTTCTTGAAATATGGTGTTGATAATAAATTACATCCATTAGAAGTTATGTATTTGTAGATCATAATATTGATTACAGGATACGCTTACGGAAAGGAGCCATTAATATGGACAAGATATAAAGGGTCAACGGACGGAAATGTTATGAATTATAATGCAAGTAGGCTAGAGGCTAACTTGAGTTTATTTATAGAAACTGTACAATCCAAGTACTATTCATTACAGAAGTACCTTTTTTGTGGGGGGAAAAACACCAAAAGACTTCTCTCGCCCAAGGTGAGCTGAGAGGGAGTGCAGACTCTTACTGACTAAAAACCCTCTCGTTTCTTCTCCTGCTTTTGGCTGAGGGTGCGGTACCTCATTGCGCTAGGCTAATAATTTGAGAGCGTAATCGCCTTAATTATCTCTGGCACTTAATTTTGTTGTAAATAGAATTACCTTCTTCGTTATTTATTTAAGTGCCCTAGACGTATAAATAAACCAACCTGTTTTCTAATGTTTGACTTCTTTATTGATATCATGACTTGTCAGGTAGTGATATTTCAAATTCCATAAAGCAGCTAGCGCCGCTGTGTTAGTGTGTTCGCATGAATGAATGTTATATCATGGAATATTTTTCACAGAGTTAGGAACACCATATTACAGTTTTTATTTTCTTGTCTAACTGCTTAGTCCTATTGCAGAATAGCCCAGTTATATCGCTTTATATTATGTAGGTAATGAACAAACCTTACATAGTACTTTTTAGTTTATTTGTTATCTAGGTAAAATAGGTACCTGTGCTAGCAGCATTGGTTGCGGTTTGTTGAGCTCCACCAATGATCTCGCCGGCCTTCTTGACTTGGTCTTCTACGACATGAGCGACTTCCTGCGCCTTCTCCACGGCAGCTTGCTCAGCATCCTTTTTCTTACGGTCGAAAAGGGAAGCAGTCTTCTCGCCGATGCTTCGGAACGCCCCTGGAATTTTAGTCGATTAGTATTGGCACGTCACTATTCAAAATGGCGCACGGCTTCTAACTAAAACAAAAACCTTTCTTTTAGTTACTGACCTGACCTAACATTATTTGTTTTTATGTTACCGATCTACATGTAAATCCGCAAATATAATATTTTATTTATACTCATAGCACATTCAAGACAGTTTCAAGAAATGTAAGATATACAGCTTCCTCGTAATTTATGTGTTTATCAACTATCACAACTTGGGCTTTGTGATAGCATATTGTAATGGGATTTGGATGGGCCATAAACTTTAACGATAAAGAGATCTCACTCATACATAAACATACTTAGAATAATTTACATTAGTTACGTACTTATTTGTTTTAGTGTCCTATCTGTGTATCGAATAGTAATAGATACTCCAATAAGTTTTTCTTTCCGAATGATTACAAAAACAACAAAAGACCTTATTCTATCTTAATTTATAATAAAATTTTTGAAGCCACCTTTACTTAGTGACAAATAACTAATTTATCGAATGCACATTAAGAAAGGTATTTAGAGGTATGAGGAACAGGGTGGAAAGTTCCTCATCCTCCATTGAAAAGGGAGGATCCTCCGACCAGGCGAGGTGTTCGTGCCTGGTGGGCTACTGCCCGACGGTTGTTGTCGGGATATCTGTATGGGTGCTAATTGTGTGGAAAACTCTTATAGCGCGATGTAGACTCTTGCACGTGATTGGTGCTGTTGTTAAAGTAGTGCGCTAGATGTCGCTACATCACTCCCCTCCGAGACCGGAGGTCGTTAGTAGGTTGAGTCGTCTGAATGTCTTGTCTTGTCGAGCCAGTTGATGGTTTCAGTGCGTCGAATCTGTCTGCGAAGATGCCCAGTGAGTCGGGTGGTGCAGTGCTGAAGAGTGGCTAGCTACTGCGTCGACCAGGAGAGGGAGTACGTCTCTGCTTGCTGACCGGCCGGTGCAGTACGCTGTGCCGAAGATTCTGATGAGGCTGTAGGTGCTGAAGAGTGGCTAGCTGCTGCGTCGACCAGGAGAGGGAGTACGTCTCTGCTTGCTGACCGGCCGGTGCAATACGCTGTGCCGAAGATTCTGATGAGGCTGTAGGTGCTGAAGAGTGGCTAGCTGCTGCGTCGACCAGGAGAGGGAGTACGTCTCTGCTTGCTGACCGGCCGGTGCAGTATGCTGTGCCGAAGATGCTGATGAGGCTGTAGGTGCTGACCAGGAATGCGCGTTGGCTGCATGCTGGTGGTCAGGGAACCCGTTGTAGCCATGGAAGCTGGCTGACTGTAGACTCGCTGCTTGAAAGCTCGACGTAGTTGCACGAAGGCTGCGTTGATGTTCATGCTCGGGGTCACCAATTTAGAGGTATGAGGAACAGGGTGGAAAGTTCCTCATCCTCCATTGAAAAGGGAGGATCCTCCGACCAGGCGAGGTGTTCGTGCCTGGTGGGCTACTGCCCGACGGTTGTTGTCGGGATATCTGTATGGGTGCTAATTGTGTGGAAAACTCTTATAGCGCGATGTAGACTCTTGCACGTGATTGGTGCTGTTGTTAAAGTAGTGCGCTAGATGTCGCTACAGGTACAATATTTTATATGGTTCGTTCGACACAGAGTGCCGCCTTTTTATTGATTTTCATAGCAAACTAGTACCGGTCAAGGTAAGCGTACCCAGCCTTTGCGTACCTACACTTATACCTAACTAACAAACATGTTTTGCCTACACCAGTTAACATAACCAGTTAATTCAGAAATAATTCTCACTTCGCAAAGGTGCACATTATTTAACCTGGCAACACCTACGGCTTTCGCCATTTTCATGGTGGTCGACGTGGGTTTGTTATGGACTTTATTTCCTGGCAATGTTTAGCTTCTTTTGTAAACATTGCAAGGTTACAGTACCTACATCCATCATGATAATCTTATGATATAACTAACAAACATGTCAATTCTTTAAGTTATTACAACCTAATGCTATTCATATTGTTATATAAAGTAAATTAGTGCCTAATATTATAACAGCTATCGCAATTGCAAATAGGTATTTGACATCCCTTTACATAAATAAGTGCCAATGTTTGATCGTTGGAAAGTTAAAAAGTTCATAATACAAAATAATAGAACTCACCAAGGTTCTTGTCTATCGGAAAGCGTGGAAATACATTTAAAAATTATTCATATTTTTACAAAATTATTAGAATGATTAATTTTATAATAAAAATTAACTAAATCCATGCTTTTTACTGCTACGTCTAGCTTTAATGGTGACGTGAAATGTGATATGTACGAGTATTAGGTTACTCAAAAATACCTGTTATTTGATTTTGGACGTTACAAGGAACAGTACACAGTGATAGTGTGGTGACCAGACAATTATTAAATAGGTACGTGCATCTACAATACTTAGGTTACAAAATAATGTAATTTTATCTACGAATATGCTTAAAATTTCTACGGTACGAAGTACGAAGTTCGATGATACAAAATAATCTCAAGGTGAATACAAGAATGATGATTATGTTTACTGCTTCTATTTCTAAGATAAAACTAATACAGATTAACAGATTAAGTGTTACAGTCAGATCGGTGGAAATTAACGAGTTTCATTATAGTCTTGTTCCGTATAGGCTGGCAAGTGACATAGAGGGCTTGTGCTTTTGTCTAGTCATATTGATAAATCGAAGTCAATCGATACGGAGAGCTGATGTCTCGACCGATTGACCGAACGAAAATAGAGTAGTGCGTGGCGAGTCGGTCAACTCGGGATCATCGCACGCTCGCCTTCCCGGCTCTTTCGTAACTCGTACTGATTGATGGGCCAAATAGCTCTCAAGTGGTAATAATATAGCTATGTACCGGACAAATTGAAGATACATTATTGTATTTTTTACACGTGCTACCGAAGAATGTGCTTTACGTATTTTTTGCATTCGTTTTCAATATTGCGAACACATCACTAAAATGAGAAGAAGAAAAGATAATATTTATTATACTGCGATGACGCGAAACGGTCGTTCGCGGCCGTTTCCTACGTTTACAGAGATTAAAAATATCCTATGAGTTAAGAGGTCGTGTGAAATTCTTACAACACTGACTGAAATGCCTACTGTGACTGATCGAGTACTTTATATAAACTTTCCGCATATATAGAACTAAGAAGAAATAAAACAATTTTATAGACACATTACATTTTATGCGTATATAACTTTCCATAGTTACATAACATAATCAACTCTGGAAGTTATGTGTCTGAGAGTATCATAAAAGTTCTATTCGATCTGGAGCAATTCCATGAGCAATAACACCGTGAGGATGACGCTGCGATCGATAACATATTGTTTCGATCGAATGGCCTACACTAGTAATTGATTCTACGGCTATTGCTGGGAAATGTATCATAAGGACGGAATAAATAATGCCACACGTGTACGTTCGCGAAAAAAAACTTCAACGTCACGTCAACTGTGTCAATTTCCTAGAACTAAACAATAAATATTATTAGCCGCCTGCTAGTCTAGGTCTCGGCCTCGCAAGCCCTGAAATTCTAGATCCAGGTATCGATTGGTCTGCGCTAGACTGGTTTTATGAGCACTGCGGCACCATTGGTGACCTAGGACACAGCGCACCCACGTTAATAGGTTACACGTTTAAAATGTTTAATGACAGATGTTATACTTTTATGACAACATCAATCTTTTATCGTTGAAAACTAAACATTGCTATGAGTTTTATAAATATTATACTTTACTAGAATATGCGCTGGTTTCACCACCTTTCTATACCTTTCCCGATAAGCTTATGTAAGATATATTCCACAGAAATAACATTTATGTTCAAATTTATCTGTCCTTAATCCCTACATACCCTTACGCTGAGAATTAAAACACTGCAGTGTACAGAAAATAGCATTTGTGTAACAATTAGGGCGCCATTACGAACCTCTTGGATTGTATTAGACATAAATCTCTGGAGCGAGTCCTATCTAATTTAGTTGTCATTATCGCACACTGCGTAGGTATGAATTACAGATTCTTTAGCAGATACAAGCTTGTAACCAATTGAGATAAATATCCGGTCTCAAGCAACGTGACATCACATCCATCTACTGCCTGTGATGTCATTACGAGATTGAGAATTCTCAGAAATTATAACTTGAAATTATATTTAGACGTGCATTCGCTGCTATAGACTTCCTTTAGTGGAAATCTATGAAGCTTAATCTAGTTTAGACACCATGCCCTTTAGTATCTCTTGGTACAGAAATTAAAATATTATCCGATAAATTATTAAAAACTCGATAGGTAACTTACATGTTCTAACAAAAATGAGCAATATGCTGGACCTACATCATACTTTAGTCTCATTTGTTTCATAACGCTATAATGCGATAACCGATTAAAATAATACCAAAACACAGCACCTAATGCGTGTGTTAATCAGTAAACGACCGGTCATTGTACTAAATAATTATAACTTGGTCATTCCGTTGGAAGTATTGTGTAGTGTCGGCCACAGAATAACCGCAAGGTCATATGAAACAAAGGATAATTTTACACCTGAGAAGTATCTTTGTGATTAACAATATCAGATTAAAATATCGTATTTAGTCCTGGATCTTAAAGGAACGAAATATTTTCGCAATTAATTCAATATGTCACATCACTATTTTTATGTGATGTCTTAAGTACGTGACGGGATAGGAATAAGATTAGTCTTGTTACTATTATTATAATAGCATTTTAATGATTCATGAACTTAGCGATTAATGGCCATTGTCTGGTAAGGATAGACCATTCTAGGTGCCTCTAACGAGCGATTAAAGTAGAAAACGTGTTTCTATTGACATTTTCAGATAACTCGGTGCATCGATGTTTCTAAAAGAATTTGAGTAATGGAAACGAGTTTTCATTTCATTGCATTATTGTTGTTATTCCATTGTTATTCCATTGTTATTAGCTAGGTATATGTTACATAGGATAATAATATACAATGTAGCGCGGC